ATACTCCCTCTCTCTTGGTCATGGGCCAAAGTATAAAACATGCATCTGTATGTGTGTAGATTACTGTTCCCATCATTCTCCAGTTGTTCCTCCCGGATCGTCCTCAATTCATATTGTGGGCTTTGGTGCCAAAGCAGAGGCTCATTTCCTTATGATCCATACTACTGTCATCCCTGAAGCAGGTGCAGTTTATCTTTCATCTGAAAAACAAACATTAGAACACAAGAAACGCCCACTTCCCTCTCTTCGCATGGTGCAGCCTGTCAATCAATCCAATTGGGCAAAACATAACTACATTGACAGATGGTCGTGTGACATCAGGGCAGAGGCTGTAGCCAAATACAGACTTAACAATATGTATGTTTCTTATTTTATACTCCCCTAAATGTGAGTTTACAAACCAAAGTTGTCCTTCAACCAACGACAGCTCACTGCGGTTGGACCGAATCATTGTCAGGACAAACAGCAGAGGGAGGGGCTCCCAGTACCTTCAGCAAGGTATTTCATCTCAGAGTACTTTCTCAGAGTACTTTTCTCAGAGTACTCTCACTTTTACACCTGTTCAATAAAGCTTGTTATCTTTGAATCTCTAGTACTTACACCGTATGCTGTTGACAAAAAATAATTATTCCATGATCACATTAAAACATTACAGAAAACTTTTGTTATTCCATTCTCCGTTCAGCACTCCTCGTTCACTCCACACTCACATCACACACGCATCACTCACACAGGCCGACTCCCCAGTTAGTATTTTGGTCCAGAGTTTGTTAAGGTCAACGTAGTGTACTTGACATGACGCACAAACATATAACCAGTGTTTCCCACACATAGACTTATCTGTGGCGCACCGCCACAGATTAGAGACCGCCCGCCACAAATTGCGTTTCGTATTATTATATATATATTTTTTTTGTTACGCTATTTAAAACATGCATCGTCTAGTGCCGCCGCAGCGGTCAATTTGACAGCGGGAAGGGGGGTTTAAAATGTGGCGGCCCTTCGTAACTCTCACTCAAGCTTACGCGTCTCTCCCACATACAGAGACCTACACACACACAGCCCCTCCCCTTCGTGCACACCGCGTGTCTCCGTCTCCATCAGCGATCTTCGCTGTAAGCAGCGAGTCAAATGGACTGAATATGGACTGTGAAATAGGATTTTGGGTTTTTGGGCTTTTGGGCGTGTGCGTGGTGTTGAATTTGATAACCAAAGTTAATACATTTTAAGTTAATACATTGTTCAGTTTTGAGCCATGTATGTCTCAATAGGGGGAATAGTTTATGGAACAACAATATGAAATTGTACTATGAAAAATTTTTCTTTTTCAGTTTGGATGTGTGTTTTTTCATTTTCAGTTCTCCATGTTCTCCATGTTTAAACATAGATTGTTTGATTTATCAAAAGGATAAAAAGGAGGGAATGATATTGGAATGTAACTTAGTTATCATTTTGCTAAATCATTTGTGGCTGAATTCTATACTGTGTATTGTAATCCACTGTTGACTTCAGAGTGCTTGGGGGTTGTATGCAGATGCCAGGAGGAAGCAGGTTTTGAGGATGCTAATGTCTCACTGTTCTTTTGTTGTGTTGGTTTCTTCCTTTCCCATCTGCATACGAAGGTGTGTCTTGTTCTACCAAAAGGGACTTGCCATCTGTGAATCTTCAGACTTGTCCTGAGAGAGGCTGGGGTCTGTGCCTTGCCTCTGTCAGGACATTCTCCTTGTACAATGTAACAAGTAAAAGATTAACTTTGTCTCTTTGTTGTGTGAGATTTCATCAGGTTCAACTGTAGTTGAAACAGCATTATCAGTAGGCCAGTCTGAATAGATAGGTTTGTGGTTTGAAAGTGTGGGAGTGTGTCAGTGTTGCGGCGGTTAGGGGGAAGTATGTCACTTTTAACCCAGAACATGTACAGTAGTATCGCATACTGCTAACATGTACAGTAGTGTCACATGCTGCTATCATGTACAATAGTATCACATGCTGCTAACATGTACAGTAGTGTCACATGCTGCTAACATGTACAGTAGTATCACATGCTGCTAACATGTACAGTAGTATCACATACTGCTAACATGTACAGTAGTGTCACATGCTGCTAACATGTACAGTAGTATCACATGTTGCTAACATGTACAGTAGTGTCACATGCTGCTAACATGTACAGTAGTATCACATGCTGCTAACATGTACAGTAGTATCGCATACTGCTAACATGTACAGTAGTATCACATGCTGCTAACATGTACAGTAGTATCACATGCTGCTAACATGTACAGTAGTATCACATGCTGCTAACATGTACAGTAGTATCACATGCTGCTAACATGTACAGTAGTATCGCATACTGCTAACATGTACAATAGTGTCACATGCTGCTAACATGTACAGTAGTATCACATGCTGCTAACATGTACAGTAGTATCGCATACTGCTAACATGTACAGTAGTGTCACATGCTGCTAACATGTACAGTAGTATCACATGCTGCTAACATGTACAGTAGTATCGCATACTGCTAACATGTACAGTAGTGTCACATGCTGCTAACATGTACAGTAGTATCACATGCTGCTAACATGTACAGTAGTATCACATGCTGCTAACATGTACAGTAGTATCACATGCTGCTAACATGTACAGTAGTATCACATGCTGCTAACATGTACAGTAGTATCACATGCTGCTAACATGTACAGTAGTATCGCATACTGCTAACATGTACAATAGTGTCACATGCTGCTAACATGTACAGTAGTATCACATGCTGCTAACATGTACAGTAGTATCGCATACTGCTAACATGTACAGTAGTGTCACATGCTGCTAACATGTACAGTAGTATCACATGCTGCTAACATGTACAGTAGTATCGCATACTGCTAACATGTACAGTAGTGTCACATGCTGCTAACATGTACAGTAGTATCACATGCTGCTAACATGTACAGTAGTATCACATGTTGCTAACATGTACAGTAGTATCACATGCTGCTAACATGTACAGTAGTGTCACATGTTGCTAACATGTACAGTAGTATCACATGCTGCTAACATGTACAGTAGTATCACATGCTGCTAACATGTACAGTAGTATCACATGCTGCTAACATGTACAGTAGTATCACATGTTGCTAACATGTACAGTAGTATCACATGCTGCTAACATGTACAGTAGTGTCACATGTTGCTAACATGTACAGTAGTATCACATGCTGCTAACATGTACAGTAGTATCACATGCTGCTAACATGTACAGTAGTATCACATGCTGCTAACATGTACAGTAGTATCACATGTTGCTAACATGTACAGTAGTGTCACATGCTGCTAACATGTACAGTAGTATCACATGCTGCTAACATGTACAGTAGTATCACATGCTGCTAACATATACAGTAGTATCACATGCTGCTAACATGTACAGTAGTATCACATGTTGCTAACATGTACAGTAGTGTCACATGCTGCTAACATGTACAGTAGTGTCACATGTTGCTAACATGTACAGTAGTATCACATGCTGCTAACATGTACAGTAGTATCACATGCTGCTAACATGTACAGTAGTATCGCATACTGCTAACATGTACAGTAGTGTCACATGCTGCTAACATGTACAGTAGTATCACATGTTGCTAACATGTACAGTAGTGTCACATGCTGCTAACATGTACAGTAGTATCACATGCTGCTAACATGTACAGTAGTATCACATGCTGCTAACATGTACAGTAGTATCGCATACTGCTAACATGTACAATAGTGTCACATGCTGCTAACATGTACAGTAGTATCACATGCTGCTAACATGTACAGTAGTATCACATGCTGCTAACATGTACAGTAGTATCACATGTTGCTAACATGTACAGTAGTATCACATGCTGCTAACATGTACAGTAGTGTCACATGTTGCTAACATGTACAGTAGTATCACATGCTGCTAACATGTACAGTAGTATCACATGCTGCTAACATGTACAGTAGTATCACATGCTGCTAACATGTACAGTAGTATCACATGCTGCTAACATGTACAGTAGTATCACATGCTGCTAACATGTACAGTAGTATCACATGCTGCTAACATGTACAGTAGTATCACATGCTGCTAACATGTACAGTAGTGTCACATGCTGCTAACATGTACAGTAGTATCACATGCTGCTAACATGTACAGTAGTATCACATGCTGCTAACATGTACAGTAGTATCGCATACTGCTAACATGTACAATAGTGTCACATGCTGCTAACATGTACAGTAGTATCACATGCTGCTAACATGTACAGTAGTATCACATGCTGCTAACATGTACAGTAGTATCACATGTTGCTAACATGTACAGTAGTATCACATGCTGCTAACATGTACAGTAGTATCACATACTGCTAACATGTACAGTAGTATCACATGCTGCTAACATGTACAGTAGTGTCACATGCTGCTAACATGTACAGTAGTATCACATGCTGCTAACATGTACAGTAGTATCACATGCTGCTAACATTTACAGTAGTATCACATGCTGCTAACATATACAGTAGTATCACATGCTGCTAACATGTACAGTAGTGTCACATGCTGCTAACATGTACAGTAGTATCACATGTTGCTAACATGTACAGTAGTGTCACATGCTGCTAACATGTACAGTAGTGTCACATGCTGCTAACATGTACAGTAGTGTCACATGTTGCTAACATGTACAATAGTGTCACATGTTGCTAACATATACAGTAGTGTCACATGGTGCTAACATGTACAGTAGTGTCACATGTTGCTAACATGTACAGTAGTGTCACCAACATTTGAACCCTCAGAGCGAAAAGCTTCAGTTATTACCCTAATATTCTTGCACTACAGTGTATTACAGATTTTCCTGTACATGAGTGTACTCGTTTCTATATAAAGCTGAAGATAGATATTTCATAAAAAAAAAAAAATAACTTATGCCATGTGCTCTTCTGTTGTTCTGTAATTTGAGAAGGCAGATGAATAAAATGTATGTGTAATTCTTTTGATTTTCAGGCATAGAAAACTGCCCTGAGTGTGATGTCATAGTGGTTCAATTGCATCATACTTTTACAGGACTGAGGCAGGACGGGTCTAAAATCAATTCCAGGTCTGTGACTAATGATGTAACTTGGCTCAAAACAGTATGTCTCCTTTAATAAGGTGTAATAGGTTTATTGTTCGAAGAGGGAGGTGTCATCTTCCTCCTGAGTCACGGCCATAGAGGAAACACGTCCAGACATGTGGAGGCAATGTTTCTCAATCAGTGGTGCATGGCATAGGCAGACACCTACGCTCCCAGTATTTAGCCCAACTTAAGATTTATTGAATTTCATTGATATGGAAATTCCAATTTCTCTTTTTAGATGATTTTAACACAAAAGAGAAAGAGAGCAGAGAGAGAGAGAGACCAGAAAGAGAAACTGGAAAAAGCTGAAGATGTGACAGAGGCCAAAATACATGGATGTGGAAACTACAGTAATAGCAAACAGTTTAAAGGTACTATATTTCGCTTTTCTTTATTCTTCACTGTCCATTCTAAGCACATGTGTGATCATATTTTGGGTGACACACCCATCGATCGATTATAATAACTGGTAAGGGTATTACTAGCTTGGAGCTGAAGAAGCCACGTGCCCGGGGGATTCTCGCGGTACTATATTTCCAGCACTACGGCCCCTGTCTCTGGAACAGTCTGCCGGAGGAGCTCAGGGCCGCAGAAAACATTCATATTTTAGAAAGTAGGCTCAAGACACACCTTTTTAGATTAGCTTTTGATTAGTATTTATTATTCCATTCTATTTATCTTTTATTATTTATTATATTGCTATTGCTATTATTCATGTATTGTGTGTTCCTTTTAGTAATCTTTATTTATATACCGCCTTTTCACTGCACATTGGAGTCTCAAAGCGGTTTACAATTGTTATTTTTTGGGAGTGGGGGTCACCAGTACAGGAGGCACATGCCAGACCTATTGTACATATTTTTAGTGGTAGGGGAAACCGGAGCACCCGGAGGAAACCTACGCAGACACAGGGAGAACATGCAAACTCCACTCAGAAAGGCCCTGGTCCAACCGGGATTTGAACCCAGGACCTTCTTGCTGAGAGGCGAGAGTGCTATCCACTCAGCCACCGTGCCGCCCATTTTAGTGTTTAGTCGCACATTTTAGTGTTTTACTTATTCTATTGTTTTTAGTGTACCCAGTGTTTCCTCTGGAGGAGCCCTCTGCACTGGGAGCAGTGGTCGGTGTGGCTGCGGGGGTTGGACTCTTGGGCCTGGTGGGGGCCTGGGGCCTCGGTTTCGTGTCTCCTCTGGTTCCTGTGTCGTCCCCTGTGGCTACGGGCGGCTCTCTGCTCCTGGTGCAGACGGCTCCTTGGATGGCGCTTTTTCAGCTGGTTGCATCCAGTGGGGGCGGGTCCCAGCTCAAAAGTGACGTGCGCTGACATGCTTGCAATACCACCCCGGGCCGATGGGGTGCCTGCCGCCATTGTTGTTTAGGTTTGTTCTCGGCTACTGCACATGTCCAAATGTACGTGCGGGAAAGTGGAGGCTGTAACAGGCAGAGAATTCACACCTTTTTCTTCACACGGCTGTGAAACTGCCCCCGCCGAGCAGCGTATCTGTTCTGTTCAACTCTGTAGTCTGTTTCTCAATGCTTGCGTTTTCACCCCCCTGAAACACAGGCTTCATGTCAAACAAAAGGCCAATCCGATACCCAACTCTAAAGCTGTGTTCAGACCGGATCATGCGAGTTTCAATGCAAAGTCAATGATGACGTCTGTCGATGCGAGGAGTTGCATGGACGTTATGGCACGCATGTTTATCCCGCACGGCAGCGGCGGTGGGTACAGAGGCTAGATGCATGCAGCGAAAGCAGAAGATGAACCTCCTTGCTGCACACATGTGCGGCAACCAATTACCGGACATATACCGGTCCAAACCAGGAAAATGATGACACTCGAAAACAACCAAAACCGGAGCTAAACCAGGATCAAACCAGGACTGAGGATGGGGAACACAGCGTTGGTGAACATATGTCTTCACCATGAGTTGACATTCTACTTTGACTGTAAACAAGTGCCCACCTCTTCCGCCCAATGTACTTCCCCAACACAGGGCAGGAAGTCAGATGGACTAAACTCATGCAGCTGATATTTAGTGAATGTGCGTCCATGCCTCCATCCACGCACATCTGTGCACTGGCGGTCTGAACACAGCTTTACTGTTGCAGCGTCCTTGTAAAACAGCACCTGCAGTACTGATTCACTGTTTTGGTCTAAGGCCCTGTCCACACGAAGTCAAGCTCAGGCCTAAACGCAAAAATACTTTATCAATCCAGTGTATCGTCCATACGAGGCCGGCGTTTTGGGGGGGTGTAAACGAACATTTTTGAAACTAGGTCCCAGAGTGGAAAGATTTCAAAACTCCGTATATGCCGCTCCGTGGTTACTGCCTCTCCGCAATGTATCTGAGACGCTTGCGTCATCGCCCCGCCTCTTGTTAAAGCACGCATGCGCCGCACTCAGAAAATAATGACAACAACAATGTAGCTTGTTGTTTTGTAATCCAGTGCGACCCGAAGCAACAGTCCAACCTCATCGTCCGTCCATACTAATGTAGTACCAGCTCGCCCACTCGCCATGTTGTCTGTTTACAAAATTCCGCGCATGCCCACGGAAGTTTGGGCTTGATCCCGTCATTGCGTCACAGCGCCACCAACAGGTCTGGCATAGTTTCACAGCGTTTTCAGGCGTATTGACTACATTCATATGGACGCAGACATTTACTGAGCTAACTCCGTGTTTACAGAAAAAGTTTCTGAAATTATAAGCGTTTTGTCTTCGTGTGGATATAGCCTAACTCTCCTGTCAATCACCTCCTGGAGGCGGGGCTTCTGGAGCTCGAGCTACCTGTGAAAGTGTGCTACGTAACAAAGTGAATCAGGTGTTTCTATGCGTCTTGAGAGTGAAAGAGAAAGATCACTCTAACTAAAGCTGTCTGGGCATGTGTAATGATTTTTAAACCATAGAAGTCAAAAAGCGTAATATGGGAACTTTAAGAGCAAGGATTTTAATTATATATATATATATATATATATATATATATATATATATATATATATATATATATATATATATATATATATATATATATATATATATATATATATATATATATATATATAAGGATTTAACGTTAGGAGTCCTAACTTTAAGACTATACCATTATTACGTATAAAAAGATCGTTTTAGACCATCAGCCCAAGAATCCACATTTGCCCCATTTCTTTCGCTGCGTGCTGTGCCTTTAACGCCGCTCCTCACTCAGCCTCCTCCTCCAGCTCCCGGAGGTCCAGTCCACTCCTCCTCCATCATCTCCCACCGACAACAACAAAACCACATCCGAGCACACACAGAGCCACACACGCGGGACCACTCAGGACCCCTCTCAGCCGCAGAGCGATCCGAACCCGGGCCCATCAGCCATGACGGAGAGCCCCAAGACCCACGTCATCCTCCTGTCCTGCGGGAGCTTCAACCCCATCACCAAAGGACATATCCACATGTTCGGTGAGAGAACGCAGTCCGTGAGGCAGGGGATGAGAGAGGCGGGCAGGTGTGGGTTGTAAAATGCGCCTTTTGGAGTTGTACTGTGGGGTGTATGTGTGTGTGTGTGTGTGTGATGACGCGCGCACAGAAAGGCCACGTTTTCTGGTCCATGGGATGAAAGTGGAGGATGTAGACGCGATTTGGGTGTGTACAAAATAGTCCGAATGCTTTAACTGCGATGTGCGGTATATGGCATAGTATGGCAAGGGTGGGTTGATTTGTACGTCTACGTGCGTTATTATGTGACGCACGCACGGACGTAGAGGCAATACGGCCTGGCCCCGTTAAAAATTGGGTTACAGGGAAAGTATATAGTTGAGGAGTAGAGATGGAGGGGTGCCAGTAAGCAGTGTTATGTAGCTAGAGAACGTATGCATGCAGGCCTATTGAGGGGGATCAGAGAACAGAGAGAGAGAAAGAAACCAGAAAGAGAGAGCAGAAAGAAACCAGAGAGACAGTAGAGAGCAGAGACAGACCAGAGAGAGACAGGTAAGAGCGAGGAAGAACAGTGAAAGAGACCAGAGAGAGATGAGAGATGAGAGAGAGCAAAGAGGGACCATAAAGAGACTGAGACCAGAGAGAATAACCAGAGAGAGAGAAAGACCAGATAGAGAGACCAAAGTGAAAAGACCAGATAGAGAGAGCATAGTGAGAGACCAGAGAGAAAGAGAGAGACCAGAGAGAGAGGCAGAAAAAGACCAAAGAGAGAGAGAGACCAGATCCGAGAAGCCTTCCTTATATGACTCATATCCGGATTTACAAAGACACAATAAAACACCAGGATCGGAGAGAATGCTAAACCTCGTGTTCCTTACTTTCTGAGTCTTTGTGTGTGTTGCAGAAAAAGCCAGGGAGTATCTTCACCAAAGCGGACGTTACATCGTGATCGGAGGAATCATATCCCCCGTGCACGACTCCTACGGAAAACCAGTCAGTGACGAGTACAACCATCATATATTTCTGTTAGGTCTTTGGCAATTACTGGCCAAGATGTGTTTAAAATGTACATAAATAAACCGGCGGCTATAGCTAACATGCTAGGTCACATTTAGGACATGTTTACATAATGCCTTGATGGATATTGATTGGATTAGGTGACAAAAGAATGGGGCCAGTTTCTCATCTAATGTAATTATTTAATGAGCAGCATTTTGTGCCTCCACAGACGTGTTACTAGATGGTTGCTAAGGCAAGCAGGAGTTTCCTCCTTAAATGAAGGCATCTGATTGGTCAATCCTTATATGGCTCATATATTGATTTAAATAACGATATCACAATACAAACACCATGATCACGGAAAGCACTAAACCACAATGTTTTAAGAGTGACAGAAACATTTATTGAGTTTTAGGAGTTTACTTTTACATGCAGTCAATAAGAGCCAGAGCGAGTTCATGGTGAGCGCTTCCCATGGATCTATAATAGTGTCTGGATAGTGTATTATTATTATTAGTTTATTTGATATGGACATATCAACTGCATTGGACAAACCAGATACATTGTTTCCAGTGTTATAGCAAAACTGCTAATTTGCAACACCTGTCCATTACTAGCTTATAGCTGTTCCACACTTGGGCAAGGGGGGCACCAGCAGAACTGCAAACTAAATTCACGTGGGCTACCCTGAAAAACGTCCCATAGAACTCTAGGAACTTTCTTGGATTTTACAAGAAAAACGTTCAGGATGACAAGGGACACTAAAATTCCCTCAAAATGTGACCCTTATGTAAGCTGTAGGTTCTTAACCTGGCAAGAGCCAGATTGATGATTGTGTAGAACTCTAACGCGTTCTCCGCGATATCATATTCTCGAGTGTTTGTGAACTCACAAATACCGCGAGAATTCAGCTTGCAGGCAAGGTTAGTAGGTTCTCTGTCAGCTGAGGTCGAGCTGTTTTAATTCAAATTGAGGACCTTTTTCTGGGTAGCCCACATACATTTATTCTACTGTACTGTGGGCGCCCCCTGTGCCCATTGGTGGGACAGCAATAATCTATTCTAGTAATACCCTATCCAGATATTATAATAGATCCATGTTTGGGCTGCATTGAGCTAGCTGGTTAGCATTGTCCTTCTATAAACAGTTGATGGTCACATATGCTGATTGTATTTTTCACTAAAGTGAGTGCAGGGAGTAGGACTGTCTTGTGCAGTAGACTAACACATGTTTGTGTGTATTTGAGTTGTATCATTGTTTTAAAGACCAGAGTCACAAGTAGTGCTTGTGCTTGTGCTCAGGGCCTGGTGTCCAGCAGACATCGCCTCACCATGTGCCAGCTGGCAGTGCAGTCCTCAGACTGGATCAGGTACTGTCCTCTTTTAACTATTCTATAGATACAGAGAGAGACCAGAAAAATCTCAGTGTTAGACCAGAGATAAAACAAGAGGGACCAGAGAGAGAGAGAGAGACAAAAGTGATAGACCCAAGAGACCAAAGTGATAGACCAGAGAGAGACCAGAAAAACAACTAGAGAGAGACCAGAAAGATACCAAAGAGGATAACTATTGAGAATTTGGGATGGAGACTTATAGGGACCGGGGGAAGGAGGAGAACCAATGAGTGGTTAACAACATTCATAATTTCCTAAATATGGCCAAATCTCTGACAGTTCTTCACAACTGTATACACCAAAGGACTGTGACTTAATGTGTGTGTGGGTCTGTGTGTGTGTGCGCAGAGTCGACCCGTGGGAGTGTTATCAGGACAAATGGCAGACGACCTGCAGTGTGCTCGAGCATCACAGGGATCTCATGAAGGTGAGACACACACACAAATGTACATACACAGACACAAACGTACACACACAGACACAAACGTACACACACAGACACACACAGCCCACACTTGAGTCATTGTCATACTGAGAGACCCATCCACGCTTCATTCTGTCATTTTCATGTCTCATGGTAGACATGGATTTGCCCTCTGAAGAAAAGCAGCTCCCAACCATCATGTTTCCACCCCCATGCTTCCTTGTGGGCATGGTGCTCCTGCTGAAGCTGTCCAGACAAGGGATGTAAATCAGTGACCGTTTAACCGCCGGTTGACCGTCACAGCGTTAACCGGTCAAAGCTGTTGGATATAAAAAGAAAAGGAGGAGAGGGGACGTTTCTTAATAACGCTATTTTAAACACTATTTGCACGGTGTGAAGGAGCGGGTCTGTCTCTACGCCAATGTATGAGCAAACTCCGGGCCAACGTTCATGCCGTACGCGCCGCGCACACACACACACACACGTGCGCACGCACGCACACATACATGCATGCACACACAAGTACCATTTCACACTCGCGCACCTTTTCCCCCATTCCATTCATACGTAACCTCCACACGCATCATCCATACTCTTGTCCGTCTCTCCCCTCCATTACTAGTCCGCCACACTTGTGCGGGTTAGAATTCCATTGGAGCATACATATACACGCACATAAATACCCACACACATACATATACAGTACACACACTTACATTTACACACATACCGTTCTCTCGCGCTCCTTTGTGTCACAGAGCCAAAGGATCTTCGCGGCTCCAGTCAAAACACTTGGGAACATGTTTGTGCTGATGGTCCTTGTCATTAGATCAGCTCTACACACATCACTTGCATTTAAACTTTAGAGGAGACCTGCGAAACGCGACTCGTCACTCGCTGCTTTTATGCATGTGAACGAGCCGTTGTTAGCAGCTAAAAAGCTTTAACCCGCAGCACAAAAGAATAGGAAGATTAAAAAAGCAGTTCTATGTGCGCAAAGGTGCCGAAGCTGTATCGCTTCGTTGTCTCGGCTCTGAACTAGAAGAACGCATAGCTGCACTTACGAAAAGTATTCGGCTCGAAAGGGCTGTTATTTCAAAGAACGTGGACTATTTTAAACTACGCGGTGGACGGTCATGAAAATTCCGTTTTTTACATCCCTAGTCCAGACCAGTGGGGGCGGGTCTCGGCTCAAAAGTTACGTGCGCTGACATGCTTGCAATACCACCCCGGGCCGATGGGGGTGGACCCGGAATAAGAATTAGCGAATGCTAACATATAGCAACTTCTTACCTCTCGAAAACGTCTTTACAGGATGGTCCAAAAGTTGGCTCTTGGCCCAAAGCTTCGTTTCACATGTGTGTCAATGCTGACGGGGTGAATTTTTTTGGTCAGTCTAGTTTACTCGCTGTGAATGTTTGAAGTACTCGTTTAAATGAATGGGGCTTGTGCCGGCTGACGCATGCGCAGATGCGTTTTTTCACTTTTTCCAGACCCCGCGGCCATTTTGAATCACTCCATGAAAGCCCAATTTTTTGCCCATTAGTTAGAACGGCGGAGATAGGCATGACTACTTCCGTTAATATATACAGTCTATGGTCCAGACCCGTGTCTAGTTTCCTCCTGAAACAGATCAGAGACCGGAGAGAGTGCAGGGAGAGACCAGAGAGAGCGTCCAAACAGAGAAAGACTAGAGAGAGAGAACATAGAGACGAAAGAGAGAAAAGAGATAGACCAGAGAGAAATACCATAGAGAGAGACCACAGAGAGGGAGAATACGTTTATGTTTTGTCTAGTTGTCCATTCCCAACACCCCACAGTAAAGCATGGGGGTGGGAACATGATGGTGTGGGATTAAATTATATGTAATTGCGGACCATAGTGACAGTATTTACACACATACTGTACATCATGAATGTACTGAGCTGTGTTCTGCACAGAGAGTTACCGGCTGCATCCTGTCCAACATCCACTCACCCTCCTCCACTCCTGTGATTGGTCAGCTGACTCAGCCCCAGACCCAGACCACGCCCGTGTACCAGAACCATGGCAACCTGAACAACAAGCCCACAGCCAGTGAGTATTTGTGGAGATTTGTGGTCTCTCTATTTGGTCTCTCTGGTCCCTCTCTGGTCTCTTTCTTGTCTCTCTCTGGTCTCTATCTGGTCTCTCTGTGGTCTCTTTCTGGTCTCTTTCCCTCTCTGGTCTCTCTCCTTTCTGGTCTCTCTCTCTGGTCTTTCCCTCTGGTCCCTCTCTCTCTGTTCTCTCTCTCTGGTCCCTCTTTCTGGTCTCTCTCTGGTCTCTATATTTTGTCTCTCTCTTTGGTCTCGCTCTGGTCTCTTTCTGCTCTCTCTTTGGTTCCTCTTTCTGGTCCCTCTTTCTGGTCTCTCTTTCTGGTCTTTCCCTCTGGTCCCTCTCTCTGGTCTCTCTCTATGGTCTCTCTATGGTCTCTCTCTGGTCCCTCTCTGGTCTGGTCTCCCTCTGGTGTCCCTCTGGTCATGTGTTCTGAATATAGAAAATGTTATTTTTCAGTTAAACTTTGGGGTAAAATCAGCGAAAACCTGGGGAAGATGTGCTGCGTGCGCCCGCACATGGACCACTTCACCTTCGTGGGTAAGAACCATCGAACTATCATCAAACTATAGATACACAAACACAAACAGACCGAGACCTCTGTCCTTAAGTCTGACCCCTGGGTTAGCCTCACATGTGGAGAGAGACACTCCTAATTTGCGTGGTTGAATCTAAAAAGGCATTTGTCTTTTCAGTTGTTTGCGCTCGGATCTTTGAGGATATTGGATGATTGACGAACCTCAATAATCTTTTATATCTTATTCTGTGAGCTCTTTGCAGCCTCCATCAGCTTTCACATTTAGTGCTCTTTGCTAGTAATAATGGGAGAGAAAGCAGGGTTTGTCTTTTGATACTCGGCTAATGGGACGGAAAACCAAAACCTCTTTAGCGCTGCTGACCGCTGACGTGTGCCTTGTGTGTCACAGATGAAAACGCAAACCTGGGCACCGCGGTCCGCTACGAGGAGATCGGTGCGTGTGTCTTTCTTATTCTCCCTGTTGTTATTGTGAATGTTTGACCCGTGTTCTGCTGTCCTCAGAGCTCCGCATCCTCCTGCTGTGTGGGAGCGACCTGCTGGAGTCTTTCTGCATTCCCGGCCTCTGGAAAGACAGTGACGTAAGCTCCACAGCTGAACTTTACAGCAGCTCAAAAAGGGGGATTTTTAAGGGTTTGTGCGAGGGATGCGCCGATATAAACCCCTTTTTCAAAACCAATACTTGTATTTGAGTACTTGCTGATACGAACACCAAGTACTGCATCGTGTTATCCCTGGGAACTGAAATTCAAAATGTCTGTTTCTTATTTCAACAATAAAAAAAATCTTCACCAATTAAACATTTCAGCAATTGTTTAAACAGTCAACAATAAGAGCCATGGTCATACTCCACTCATACAAATAGTAAGTTGTTCGGGACAATGTGCAGTTGCATTAAAAAGATGGCTGCACCAGATTTTGCATTTTCCAGCTACTTTCCACCTGTAGTCCTTGACAATACAATCTTATAACTTGTATAATGATATACAGATCAAATAAAAAGTGCAGGTTACTAAAAAAACTTCAAAATAATAGGGTTAGTTACTAAAATACATATTAACATACAGTTCAATAAAAGTGCAAGTTACAAAAATACATGATTACGCTGTTTCCATTGATAGTGAGCTCCCGATGTGCTGGAAGTTGGCTGGATGTTAAATTTCAGAACTTGGCTGTCCTTTTTTACATACTTTTTAAAACTAAGGACAGTTCTCAGTTTTTTTATCAAGTTGCTGGTGTTTGTTTTGGAGCCACCTTGTGACAGTTTTGCCTCATACAGTCCGCTTTACTCTAGTCACTTGTTTACTTTAAAAAACCTATGGCAGGGTCTTCAGGTATCAGTATGAGTACCCAATACCAGTATCAGTATCGATGAATCCCTGGTTTGTGCAAAAGTACTTCTTGACATTGAAGCAAAAAGCATTTTTTGCGCTGTGGAGAAATGAAGCCAGGACACCAGCGATCGCACCTGTAACCCGGTTTATTTTCAAGTCCCGTCAGATCAAACAAAAGGATTTGTATCAATGTGCATAAGAACAGAAACTCTTCAATCATTTAAGATATTAATGACGCATGCTTAAGATATATAGATACTGTAGTAACAAGGTGGGTCAGAAAAAATGCCTTCAGTTCTTCAGACGATAATGTTTAGCGGTATTACAGATATAACAGGGGTCAGATTCCACAGTGCCTTTACGGGGCAGAGGGAGCGGAGGACTCAAACGCAGGAATGCAAAAATAATCATTCAATAAAATAAAGTCCAAGCTGAAAACAAATCTCAAAACGCCAAAGGAACCAGGAACAGGAACAATACAGAACTTGACAATACAATGGACCAGCAACAAGGGGAGAGGAGCACAGGGTACATATAGACACAGAGAGACACAGGTGAAACACAGCAGGGCAGACAATCAACACGGGAACAGGACAGGAAACAAAACTGAAATGAAACCCACAGAACTAATGTCAAAATAAAACCAAATACAGCAATAAAATCCACACCATGACAGGGTTAGGGTTTGTGGATGAAAGAGCCTTTGTATGTGTTGCAGATGGAGGTGATCGTGGGAGACTTCGGGATCGTGGTGGTTCCTCGAGACGGAGCCGACACCGAACGCATCATGAACCATTCGGCTGTGCTACGCAAGTACAAGGTCTGCAGTGTGCACTCGTCTGCGCTACTCACGCTCTGTCATCTCTTCTCTTCTCTTCTCTTCCCTCTCTCTTCCCTCTTTCTCCTCTCTTCTCTCCTCTCTCCTGCACTCTCTACTCTCCTCTCTTTCCTGTCTCCTCTCTTCTCTCCTCTCTCCTGCACTCTCTACTCTCCTCTCTTTCCCTCACTCTCATCTCTCCTCTCTCTCTTTCTGTCCTTTCTCTCCTCTCCACTCTCGTCTCATCTCTCCTTCCTCTTTTCTCTCTCCTCCCCTTCCCGTTTTCCTCTCCCTCCTCTCTCCTCTCTCGCTCTTGTCTTCTCTACCCGTTCACTCAGTGCTCTGTTCTCCGCAGGACAACATCATCGTGGTGAAGGACGCTGGGACTCACCCCATGTCTGTGGTCAGTTCCACCAAGAGCAGGTGAGTGCACTGCTGCAGCTGTCAAAAGCCGTGCATACACTGTAAAATACAGCTGCAGAGGACACAGAGGAGCAGGGGCAGGGGGCTGCGGTAAGACCACAGAGAAACCAGAGAGAGACCAGAGAGAGAACAGGGAGAGACAAGAGAAAGACCAGAGAAAGAGACCAGATAGGAACCAGAGTGGGAGAGACCAGAGAGAGATTGCAGGCTGAGAGACCAGAAAGAGACCAGAGAGAGACCAGAAAGAGACCAGAGAGAGAGAGACCAGATAGGTACCAGAGAGAGAGAGAGAGAGAGAGAGAGAGAGAGAGAAAGAGAGACCAGCGAGGGAGAGACCAGTGAGAGACCAGATAGAGGTACCAGACTGAGAGACCAGAGAGAGACCAGAGAGGGACAAGAGAGAGCGACCAGAGAAAGAAACCAGAGAGGGAGAGACCAGGGAAAGACACCAGAGAGGGACAAGAGAGAGAGAGACCAGAGAAAGAGACCAGGCTGAGAGACCAGAGAGAGAGAGACCATATAGGAACCAGACAGAAAGAAACCAGAGAGAGACCAGAGAGAGAGACCAGAGAGAGAGACCAGAGAGAGACTGAAGAGAGACCAGTGATAAACCAGAAAGAGACCAGAGAGAGAGATCAGAGAGAGACAAGAGAGACCAGATAGGAACAAGAGAGACAAAAGAGAGAGACCAGAGAGAGAAACCAGAGAGGGAGAGACAAGAGACAGAGAGAGACCAGCGAGAGAGACCAGCGAGAGAGACCAGACCAAGAAACCAGATCAGACAGAAAGAGACCAGAGAAAGACACTAGAGAGAGAGAGAGAGAGTCTTCTGAATTAATCAAGTTTTCTTCTAACCTTAAATAAAGGAAACTGTCATGTTATATGTTGTTATATAGTTGTTTATGATGTGGTTGGAGGACACATGCGGTGTGTGTTGTAGGTAGGGACCACTGTGCAACAAAAATACAAAAGACCACACACTGACGCCATGTTAATATAAGAATTATATAAAAGTGTATTTTGGTGATGTATTTAAAGTGAGTGTGTCCGCAGACTGGCCCTTCAGCACGGAGACGGGCACGTGGTGGACTACCTGTACCAGCCGGTCATCGACTACATCCTACAGACCCAGCTCTACATCAAGGCCTCGGGATGAGACACAGAAGCCCCACCCCCTTTCCCACAAGCCCCGCGCACCAGTCCCTCGAGCCCCGCCCACCGGCTCGTCTTCACCTGCCCCCATATCGTGACGTTTCTTCACAGCCGTGTGTAGCACTGATTTGCACACGCTCAGACTGTACAGACATCAGCGGGCCGTCCATAGAGCTGTGAGGGACCAGAGAGAGCTTGCTTAGCTTTAGTAACATGTACAATATACATTTCTCTTTAAAACTGAGGTACGTCATTTTAAAACCACAAAAAATTGGTCATAAAACAATGTCATAAACCCCCTTACAACTCCTGTCTCTGGTGTTCACATGCATGTGTCTGTCACATCTTTAGATCAGCTTTTCAGACAGAAAGGTGACAAAGAGAGGACCACCCTCACTCAGACAATTGGCTCTCAGCCCAAATAGTCAAATAGTGACTCACAAGGCTCTGAATTAAAAGTAATAGATAAGAGATGATGTTTTCTACCATGAATAATGAATGTATAGATAGCTATGTCTATCTATCTACTGTTTTGTGGGTACATGCAATATGGCTGCCACATTTGCCATAGCAACAACACCACAACAGCTCTCTCTACTCCCTATAGTTTTATTCTATGGAACAACCATATATGTCCACGGTAGAATGTAATCACAATGTTCCTACAGCTTTCATTTTAGATTCGTAAAAATTCCCTGAGAACATTCAAGAAAAAGCACGTAGGAATAAATGTGGTACTACTTCCAAGTAATATCATTTTACTCTACTCTTTATCCTACTTTTTTACTACTACTCTCCTAACTATACCTGTCCATCTGAATGTGTAGGACTATAGGATACCTCACTACGACTGGGACTGCTACAGAAGCAGCAGCAGCAGCAGCAGCAGCAGCAGCAGCTAGCAGCAGCAGCAGCAGCAGCAGCAGCAGCAGTAGCAGCAGCAGTAGCAGTAGCAGTAGTAGTAGTAGTAGTAGTAGTAGTAGTAGTAGTAGTAGTATGCATGCGTATTGGGACTGTGGCATGAGGACAGTGTGTACTTTTGTTTCGCCTCATGTATAATAATATCATGGTATCGTGTACAGATCACTGATTGTAAACTTTGAATGAATGTCGTCACTGGAGGCTTTTGGGGAGAGTCTGCACAAAGTCTGCAAATCTGTATCACTGTTCATTTCGACATTTGCTCTATTAATTATATTTTATTATTTATGATTTCACTCATTTATAATTAATTTCCATTTGTTTCATTTATTTGTCCAAATTCTTTTTATTTTTTATTTTTAGGAATAAAATATCACACATTTTATCTTATTGTTATTACAGATTACAGCATAGGTTTAGTCACAACAAATATCCAGGTTTTAATGTTAATAAACTTAGAATATTTGATTTCTCTCATTTTCTTAATAATATTTGTTTTTATTGTGAATCATTTATCATATCAAAAATGTATTTATTATGAAAAAACATGTATTAATTGTGTTAAATCTCATTTATCTGATTTTCACTTTAGATTTAAGTCGAAGCTTATAACAAAAAGAAAGGATTCATTAAAGTTAAAAAATCATTTGGATTTGAATTTGGATTTAAAATTAATCAAAATATAACAATACATTGTGGAAATTCAAAATGTTTTAGAAAATTATGTATTTTTAATAATTTATCTTTAACAGAATTTGAGGAATGGTTTAAAATTGTTTATTGTTGAGAATTAAAACTTTCATAAATGAATAACGTGAAGGAAATCCATTAATTTCTCTGTTTTATTTGAAATGAAAAATCTGATTTTACTGTGATTCTCTCACAAACTGAGTTCATGTAAATATCAGAATAAAAGTTGGATCTGGAAGAAGTGACCTATGACCTCTGATTTCTGACTTCTGACCTTTGCTTCTCTTCTAAAGCTGAATGTCTTCATGAACTTGTTTGCACTGGTGTAAATCATGCATTGTCTCAATAAAATCAATTTGAGTAAAAAAAGTTTATTTATTCAAGTCTAAAAACATTTTTTTTATGTATTCCACATCAGAAATGAGCTGTGTGTGTGTTTGTGTTTGTGTGTGTGTGTTCATGTGTGAGTGCATGTGTGTGTGTGTGTGTGTGTGTGTGTGTGTGTTCATGTGTGAGTGCATGTGTGAGAGCATGTGTGTGTGTATATGTATATAGATAAACAAAGTGCATACAGAGCAGTGGACAGTCTTGTCGAGCGCCTCCTCACGCTCCAAAACACCAAATTGAACTCCTCACTCCTCCTCACTCCCTGCTCCTCCTTGGTCCTCCTCGCACCTCCTCAGGCCTCCTCACACCTCCTCAGGCCTCCTCCAGAGGTGGGTTGTTGTAGCAGCCCTTGGGGACAGTGTTCAGTATGTCCTCCACATTCTGGATATCTGAGAGGATAGTGGACAGGTTCTGCTCCAGGCCCAGGAGGTGCAGCCTGTGGGCCCTCTCCTTCTCCTGCAGCTGCTCCAGACGGGGCCCCAGGCTGAGGGTCAGGTCCCTCTGCGCATCCAACAGGGACTGCTCTAAACGCTGCAGCCGGGACAGGTCCAGGGGCTCTGAGCCATCTGAGGGCATCAGCAAAGAACTGGTTAAATAAATAGAAACCATAGAGACACAGACGCACACATCCACACACTCAGGCGCACACACAGACACACATATGCGCGCACACACAGACACACATATGACGAATGGTCTGAACAAGCATGGCATCACCATAGTTTTAGCCTTAATGTCGAAGAAGCCGATTTGAACATACAGTAAGCTAGCTGTAGCCATTGTCCTTATACGGACATTTATTCTGACAGCATTAGCATCGTACCGTAACAGGAACAGACATGTTGCTGAGACGGTTGCTAGGACGGTTGCTAAGGAAAGCTGGAGTTCCAAGAGTGAAAAGTTCATTATGTCTCTATACACATGAAGGCTTAGTGTACTTCACCATGAGCCCTATTTGGCGTCACTGAGCTAGCGGATTAGCATTGTCCACCTATACAGTCTGTGATGGAAGTACATGTAAAACAGACAAAGGATTTAGTGAAACATGTCCCCCACCCCTGAAACCTGAGACTTTGTGTTGCTCATTCTAGTCATCTCTTATTCCATTTGTCAGGTGTAAAATGAACACATGAATGCAGAGTGAAAGTGTAGCTCACTCAGACTGTTGATCATGCTGTGGACGTCCCTCAGGGTCCTCCTCACCGCGTCCCTGCTCCTCAGGCTGTTCTCCAGAGCCGCCTGCGCCTCCTCCACCCCCTGTCAATCATCTGTTAGACCAGGGAGTGTGTGTGTGTTTGTGTATGTGTACTGTGAGTATGTGTGTGTAATGTGGGTATGTGTGTGTCTTGTCTGTGTGTGTGATTGTGTGTGGGTGTGTGAGCATGTATTTGTCTGTGTGTGTTTGTGTGTGTGTGTCTCTCTCTGTGTGTGTGTGTGTGTGCGTGTTTGTGTGTGTGTGTTTGTGTGTGTGTTATCTATGTATGTACTGTATGTATAAGCATTCGTGTATGTGTGTGTGTCTCTCTCTCTCTCTCTCTGTGTGCATGTTTGTGCGTTGTGGTAAGAGCTCTGGTGTGTACTATCTGCTCTGTCTGCTGCGCACTTGGGTATGAGTCTTGCACAGTTTTTTGGTGGTTTTACTGCAAATGGCAAATAAAATCTTGAATCTTAAATCTTGAATCTCCCCATTTGTGTTTATGTGTGTGAATGTGTGTGTGTGTGTGGGTGTGTTTGTGTGTGTATCTCAGTGTGTTCTGACCTGCTCTGAGTCACGCTTCAGTTTGCGAGCCTCCTCCAGCTCCTTCCTGACTGTGTCTGCAGTGGAGAAGGAGTCTGCCTCCAGCTGCTCAGCGTCATTCCTCAGGACAGTGGCATTCTCCAGGAGGCCACTAGGGAGCAGCACCCGCGAGGCCTGAACAACACAGAACCACAACTTCCTGAATCTCTCTAGTCTCTCTCTTGTCTCTCCCTGTCTTAGGTCTCTCCCGGGGGTCGCTCTGGATACTTTCTGGTCTCTCTCTGGTCTCTCTCTGGTCTCTCTCTGGTCTCTCTCTGGTCTCTCTCTGGTCTCTCTCTGGTCTCTCTCTGGTCTCTCTCTTGTCTCTCTCTGGTCTCTCTCTGGTCTCTCTCTGGTCTCTCTCTGGTCTCTGGTTTCTCTTTGGTCTCTCACTGCTCTCTCTCTCTGGTTCCTCTGGTCTCTCTCTGGTCTCTCTCTGGTCTCTCTCTGGTCTCTCTCTGGTCTCTCTCTGGTCTCTCTCTGGTCTCTCTCTGGTCTCTCTCTGGTCTCTCTCTGGTCTCTCTCTAGTCTCTCTCTGGTCTCTCTCTGGTCTCTCTCTGGTCTCTCTCTGGTCTCTGGTTTCTCTTTGGTCTCTCACTGCTCTCTCTCTCTCTGGTTCCTCTGGTCTCTCTCAGGTCTCTCTCTGGGCTCCCTCTGGGCTCCCTCTGGGCTCCCTCTGGGCTCCCTCTGGGCTCCCTCTGGGCTCCCTCTGGGCTCCCTCTGGGCTCTATTGTCTCTTTCTGGTCTCTGGTTTCTCTTTGGTCTCTCACTGCTCTCTCTCTCTCTGGTTCTTCTGGTCTCTCTCTTGTCTCTCTCTGGCCACTCTCAGGTCTCTCTCTGGGCTCTCTCTGGGCTATCTCTGGGCTCGCTCTGATCTCTGGTTTCTCTTTGGTCTTTCACTGCTCTCTTTCTCTGGCCTTTCTCTGGCCTTTCTCTGGCCTCTCTCAGGTCTCTCTCTGGGCTCTCTATGACCTCTCTCTGGTGGCTCTTTTGGATGTTGTTGAATGTCTCTTAAAACCATGGTTACCTCAAGTTTATCCACAGCCGCCTTCAGCTGGTCCCTCCCCTGTCCCGCCTGGTCCAGCTGCTCCCTTACGGCTTCCACCAAGCCCTGAGCATTAGTGTTGTCCTTCTGGGCAGACTTCACCGTGGCCTGGATGGCCGGAAGACGAGCGATGGCGGCGTCTGCAAGGGATTTGGCTCCATCCATCTGCTGCTCAAAACCTGAAGCGAGATCCATGTTTAGTTTTTTCATAATGTTTAGATTGAGAGACCAGAGAGAGAGACCAGAGAGAGAGACCAGAGAGAGAGACCAGAGAGAGAGACCAGAGAGAGAGACCAGAGAGAGAGAGAGACCAGAGAGAGAGAGAGACCAGAGAGAGAGACCAGAGAGAGAGACCAGAGAGAGAGACCAGAGAGAGAGACCAGAGAGAGAGACCAGACCAGAGAGAGACCAGAGAGAGACCAGAGAGTCAGAAAAGCCGATCTAAAGATGTGACTGAGGCCAAAAACACAAGCATGTGAAATTTAGTCACAGAAGCAAAGCGTTTTAGAGCCATGGATTTTAATGCAGGGATTTGTGATTTGAAAGTTAGGTACCCCAGCTTTAAGACTAGAACTCACATACAGTAGCAGTCAATTTACGGCTTTGAGTTTAGGACCCCACTTTGCCCAAAGCCTTCGCTGAAAGATCTCAGCTCCTGTGGACTCAGCACCTGCAGGAGGATCAGAGAGGGGCTGGTGCTAAGTGTACTGGGTGCAGCTCTGACTGCTACCCCCCCCGACCCAGAAATGGATTAAGGGGAAGAAAATGGATGGATGGATGGAGTTTAGGACATAGAAAAAATGCCCACGTACATTTTTATGTTTGAAATGTGAGTGGTTCTAGTAACTCCTAGAGCAGAGTCAGGACTAGACTAGTTGCCATAGCAACTAACTATTACAACACTATTGCTACAACACTATTGTTGTTGTAATTGTTTTGTAAAATTGTCCCCTGTTATGTTTGTAACATTGTGATTGGCATGTGATTTTATATTATTTTATTTTCTCTACTGTATGTCAAGTACGAAAGTAACTTTGGCCATAATCTCCATGATGCATCAGACTATAGTGTAGTTAGTCTATGTTTGCTGTATCTGTCCCTACTCAAATAAACCAAAAAAAACGGTTGGACCAAGGCCTTTCTGAGTGGAGTTTGCATGTTCTCCCCGTGTCTGCGTAGGTTTCCTCCGGGTGCTCCGGTTTCCCCTACCACTAAAAATATGTACAATAGGTCTGGCATGTGCCTCCTGTACTGGCACTCCCACTCCCAAAAAAAAATAAAAAAACAATTGTAAACCGCTTTGAGACTCCGATGTGCAGTGAAAAGGCGGTATATAAATAAAGCTTACTTACTTACAAAAAAATATTTACCAATTTTAGCACATATTAAAAATGAATTATGGTAAATATCTGGGAAATTACTTACTCTTAATAAATTATCTGAAAAACACACATTTTTGGGGGAATTTCTCAGATTAAAAGGGTCAAAATGAGCGCTGTGGGAGTCCTAGTGTTAAGGAAGAAAAGGTGGTTTTCACCTTTGAGAGTGCTGAGAGAGTCCTCCAGCGAGGCCGTGTTGCTGTTGATCCTCCTGAGAGCGTCCTCAGTGTCGGACTTGGCCTGGTCCACTCGGTCCACCAGTTTGTCAAAGGTCTGGGACACACAACAGAGAGAAGGAGGTTAAAGTCTGCGTTTAGGTCAAAGAACAGTATTTCAGGGCCAAAACATCTCTATGGTATCTCCATCTATCTATCTCCAATGATTCGGAGCAATAGATATAAACACTCTTTCGTACCTGCAGTCAACCAGAGACAGAGGAAATAGGGGTTGAAATTTTTGCTTGGGGGGGACAGTTTTTTGTCTTCTTTTTTATCCTGTTTTTAAACTGCCATTGACCTGACTGGAAGACTGTATATGGACACCTTGTTAGTCTGAATGTATGGGGAAAATGTTTATTCTATGTCTTTTTCTTTGTATGTGTCCCTGTGCTGTGAACCAAATTGCCCCATCGGGGACATGAAATAAAGTGAAGTGAAGTGAAGTGATGGGGAAGGGTCTCTCTCTCTGGCATCTCTCTCTGGTCTCTCTCTCTGGTCTCTCTCTCTGGTCTCTCTCTCTGGTCTCTCTCTCTGGTCTCTCTCTCTGGTCTCTCTCTCTGGTCTCTCTCTCTGGTCGCTCTCTCTGGTCTCTCTCTCTGGTCTCTCTCTCTGGTCTCTCTCTCTGGTCTCTCTCTCTGGTCTCTCTCTCTGGTCGCTCTCTCTGGTCTCTCTCTCTGGTCTCTCTCTCTGGTCTCTCTCTCTGGTCTCTCTCTCTGGTCTTTCGTTGATCTTTCTCTGTGGTCTCGCTCTCTGGTCTCTGGTCTCTCTCTCTGGTCTCTCTCTCTGGTCTTTCTCGCTGGTCTCTCTCAGGTCTCTTGCTGGTCTCTCTCGCGGGTTTCTCTTGCTGGTGTCTCTCGCTGACCTCTCATCAGTAACCAGTGCTGAGGAGCTGCTTTTGTCCCAGTGTGGTTGTAATGATGTTATCAGACCACTAGGGGGTGCACATGTGTGGGCCTCACCTCCTGCGCGGCCTTCCCCTGGTCCAGCAGCTTCACAGCGCTGCTCTGCTCCTCCTCTGTAGCTGCTTTGAGTCTGTCCAGGTCCTCCATGTTCCCCTCGGCCTCTGCTTTCAGACGGTCCACACCAGAGCTCATGGCGTCTGCCTCGGCCTGAGAGAGAGCGGAGAGAAAAGCACAATTTCATACTACAGCTCCTCAACAATTCAGTTCAATTCCATTCATCCATCCAACCATCCATTTTCTTCCGCTTCATCCGTTGCCGGGTCAGTCAATTCAATTTATTGTATTCACAGAAAGGAGCCATCGTGAGGAGAAACCAGACTTAAAATGGAACACACAGTAGTTTAAAATCAGAGTGATCCCAACGACACTTGCCCATGGCCACAGTGTAATTAGCATATGTCTCCAATTTTGTGTAACAAAATCTAAATCTTCCTTTCATCAGCGAACAGCAAAGACAATTATTTACATTCATTGCAACAAATAAGGGAATAAAAATACCAAAAATACAAAAATGTGTCATTGGAACAAGTATGATTGGTCTCTTAGTTGAGTGAAGGGGTTGCAGGAGTGCTGCACTGGATCAAACAAAAGTAAAAACACTAACAGGTGCTCATTCGACTCAAGGGTTGGAGACTGGTATGCAAAAGAAAAAATGGAGAAGGAGGCACTCTGAAAACAGTGTTCTTTTATTTTATGATTGGTCTCTTTCTTGTCTTTTTCCCACTCTCGCTAATCTCTCTGGTATCTCTCTTTCTGGTCTCTCTCGCTAGTCTCTCTCTCGCTGGTCTCTCTCATTGGTCTCTCTCTAGCTGGTCTCTCTCATTGGTCTCTCTCTCGCTGGTCTCTCTCATTGGTCTCTCTCATTGGTCTCTCTCTAGCTGGTCTCTCTCATTGGTCTCTCTCTAGCTTCTCACTGGTCACTCTCTCTGATGTCTCTCCGGTCTATCTTGTCTCTTTCTGGTCTCTCTCTCTGGTCTAGCTTTCTGGTTTATCTCTCTAGTTTCGCTCTGGTTTCTCTCAGGCGTCTTTCTCTGGTCTCTCTCTGATCTCTCTTTCTCGTTTCTGGCCTCCCTCTGGTCTCCTTCTGGTCTTTCTTTCTCGTTTCTGATTTCTCTCACTGGTCTCTTTTTGGCCTCTCTCTCGACTCTCACCAGTCATTCTCTCTGATATCTCTTGTCTCTTTCTGGTCTCTCCCTCTAGTCTCGCTCTGGTGTCTCTCTGTTGTCTCTCTGGTTTCTCTCCGGCCTCTTTCTCTGATTTCACTTTCTTGTTTCTGGCCTCCTTCTGGTCTCTCTTTGGGCTCTCTCTGGTCTCTCACTGGTCGTTCTGGTCTATCCCCTCCTGACTCACAGACCTGCAAGGAGGTGGGGAGCTGCTTCTCCAGGTTCAGCAGGTCCTTCAGCAGGGCGGCGGCCTTCCTGCTCTGGTCTGTGGCGTCAGAGCTGACCCCAGGAGCACGTGCCTCTAGATCCTTCACCTCAGCGGAGATCTGCTCGAACCTGTCGCACCAACACATTCAAACACTGCATTCACAAGAGTCCTTTGAGAGAGGTGTGCAGTTAAAGGAGCAATATGTAACATTCTGGTCAAAAGTGGTACTGCAACCTCTCCCACTCTCCCTGACTCAGGTTGCCAGATATGTAGACGGATTCAGCTGGGACCATAATAACTGAATAGACAAGAGTTCTATAACCAAAACCTTTTTCACAAAGATAGAAATCCTGGTTTTATTCTTTGGTTTGTCATGAATAATTTGAGAATAACAAGACCTTTTTTTAATTCTGATTGGTAAAACGGTGGAGGGCGGGACATCGAGATGAAAACAATAACAATAACAAAAACTCATTTTGATATGTAAAGATCTCGACTGAACTATTGTTATCAGTATAAGAAGTATTCGAAAAGAGCCTGTTTTGTTATTGCATTTTGACAGATTAGGGCCAGTTAATGCTGACTTGACATGAAAATCTTGACATATTTCTATATTTAAAGCTGACATACGTGCGTTTCAGGTCCTGGGCGCTCTGCTGGACTTTCCCCTCGCGCTCCAGCACACGTCGGAGCAGTTCGGCGCTCTGCTGAGTGTCCTGCGCCGCCACAGACGAGTCCTCAGCCACGGAGGAGGCGGCCGACTGCTGCCTGCGGGACAGACACCAACATGGAGGAGAATCAAGATTAATTTGTTTGTATTTTGTTCTAAAATTTTTTTATACAAAGTAACAGGAAGTCAGAAACTAGGAATTTGCTTTGGCTCAAGGTGCAAAGAACTACAACGAAAAGTTAAAAATACATATGAGGTAGATCTCACACAAAGCCCTGGACACAAGAGTGAGCGCGACCAAAGCCAGGCTCGATGTGGACCAACCCAAAAAGAACAGACTAAGAATGATGACGTCACGTGTTTTGTCTGCCTGGATGTGGAAAGTGCTGATGAGAGCTGACTCAAACAGGCTCTTTCTCTGGTCCCTCTTATATATCTGGTCTTTGTCCTGTCTCTCTTTCTGATTTCTCACTGGTCTCACCCTGGTCTTTCTCTGGTCTTTCTCTCTGGTGTCTCTTTGGTGTCTCTTTCTAGTCTCTCCCTGGTCTCTCTCTCTAGTCTCTCTCTGGTCTCTCTGATTTCTCTCTGGTCTCTCTCTCTGGTCTCTCTCTCAGGTCTCTCTCTGTGGTCTCTCTCTCTAGTCTCTCTCTGGTCTCTCTCTCTAGTCTCTCTCTGGTCTCCCTATCTAGTCTCTCACTGGTCTCTCTCTAGTCTCTCTCTAGTCTCTCTCTAGTCTCTCACTGGTCTCTCTCTAGTCTCTCTCTTCCCTCTCTGTGGTGGTGTACTCACGTCTTCAGTAGGTCCAGAGCCTTGTCCAGCAGAGAGGTCAGAGGGTTGGTGTCTGCCTGCTCCGAGGGGGAGTCCGCCTGAGGACGCTCCTGCAACAACAACAGCGGACTCAGAAAAACACTATCTTGCTCCTGCCTTAGTCCAATTTTAGTTCTGCTTTACATTTGCTTTAGACCCACTTTAGTCTGGGTTTAGTTCTGCGTTACATTTGCTTTAGACCCACTTTAGTCTGGGTTTAGTTCTGCTTTACATTTGCTTTAGACCCACTTTAGTCTGGGTTTAGTAATGCTTTACATTTGCTTTAGACCCACTTTAGTCTGGGTTTAGTTCTGCTTTACATTTGCTTTAGACCCACTTTAGTCTGGGTTTAGTTCTACTTTACATTTGCTTTAGACCCACTTTAGTCTGGGTTTAGTTCTGCTTTACATTTGCTTTAGACCCACTTTAGTCTGGGTTTAGTTCTGCTTTACATTTGCTTTAGACCCACTTTAGTCTGGGTTTAGTTCTGCGTTACATTTGCTTTAGACCCACTTTAGTCTGGGTTTAGTTCTGCTTTACATTTGCTTTAGACCCACTTTAGTCTGGGTTTAGTTCTGCTTTACATTTGCTTTAGACCCACTTTAGTCTGGGTTTAGTAATGCTTTACATTTCCTTTGGACCCACTTCAGTCCAGGTTTAGTTCTGCTTTACGTTCGCTTTAGACCCGCTTTAGTCCAGGTTTAGTTCCGCTTTGGACCGGACTTGCTTTAGTTGCGCTTTAATCCTCCAATGGTTTCCTGAACCATTTGGTAGATCAGCTTGGAATCTTGGAACTGAAATCCATCTGTTTGGAGCATCTCTATCTCTTGGTTTTAGATACTTTCACCATCAAACCTCATCTCAACCATTTGGTAAAGGTCCACAATAATAATATAAAAAACTAGGGGTTCAAAAAAATGTTGGTGCTCCCACATCTTAGAAAATTTCAAAAAGGAAAACAAATGCATCGCGTTCCTCAAGGAGTGAACATTAAAGGGTTAAACCTGCGAAACCTTCTACACTTCAAATGTAACTCTCTTGTTGTAATTTTCAAATTAGACTTACAGTATACACAGTAAACAGTTTAAAAACCACATCACAATTGAAGTGTCTCTCACCAGAGCTGTGAGTGCGGCCCTGGCCTGCCGCAGGAGCCCCCTCATGTCCTGGATCAGGTCCTGGGTGGTGTCCTGCTTGTCCCGGTATGAGGCCTGCTGGTCCTGGACGTCCTGCACGCGCTGAGACACACGGTCCAGCTGCTGCTCTGCTCTGAGCTGATCTGCGGTCACTGAGGTCAGACGCTTCTTCAGGCGCCTCTCTGCATCTGTGTACACACACATATATATATATATACACACACACACACACACACACACACACACGCACACACACACGCACACACACACAGAGCGGAGTTACATGTCTGTGCTAGAAGTTCCTGGTATTATTAACGATGGATCTAAAAACAAATCCAGGTCTCTTACTGGTCAGGGACAATGTTAAATAAGGGACACGGTTAATAACTAAAAGAAAGTAGTGTTTAAAATGTATGGATAAGCTTAGCCTGGCCTTAGCCATCCGTACACTCCGCTCAATCATCATTTCATTTGTACTACGGCGTGGTACGACCAGTCTAGGGTAAGCTTGTATATTGGTAGGGATGGCTGAAAACACAAGAATGTGAAAACTACTGGCTGAGTGGATAGAACTCTCGCTTCCTAGCAAGAAAGCACTGGGTTCGAATCTAGGTTGGAATGAGGCCTTTCTGAACGGAGTTTGCATGTTCTCCCTGTGTCTGCGTAGGTTTCCTCCAGGTGCTCCGGTTTCCCCTACCACTAAAAACAAGTACAATTGTTGTGGCATAGGCCTTCTGTATTGCAACCTTGCTCCCATTTCTGTGTGGAGTAAGAGACAAATGCCCAAAGTAAAGCACTTTCTGACTTACTTACTTACTAAATTAGTAATAGAAAAAGGAACTATTGGATTTTATGACATGGTCCAATGTTATGGTTTGAGAGTTAATTATTTTTAAGTTCACTGCAGACACAGCATCAGGCAAATACTGACAGACACGAGATGTGGATAATGCTGCGTAGGGTGTGGCTGTACCTGAAGCCAGGATCTGGTCGTCCTGCAGTTCCTCCAGCTGCCTGCGGGCGGCCCTGAGCGCTGCCTCTGTTTGGTCAGAGTTAGAGGGGTCCAGGTCCGACGCCAGTGAGTCCAGGTCCTGCACTCTGAGCCAGAACTGGTCCAGCTGCAACACAACAACAGTTTTCATACATGCTCGCAACAAGGAAAAGTCCTGCTGCTTAAGTCCTGCTTTAGACCTGCTTTAGTCCTGCTTTAGTCCTGCTTTAGTCCTGCTTTAGTCCTGCTTTAGTCCTGCTTTAGTCCTGCTTTAGACCTGCTTTGGACCTGCTTTAGACCTGCTTTCGACCTGCTTTCGACCTGCTTTCGACCTGCTTTAGACCTGCTTTAGACCTGCTTTAGACCTGCTTTAGACCACCTGCTTAAGACCTGCTTTAGTTCTGCTTTGAACCTGTTTTAGTCCTGCTTTAGACCTGCTTTACTCGTGCATTAGAGCTGCTTTAGTCCTGCTTTGGACCTGCTTTAGACCTGCTTTAGACCTGCTTTAGTTCTGCTTTGGACCGGTTTTAGTCCTGCTTTAGACCTGCTTTACTCGTGCATTAGAGCTGCTTTAGTCCTGCTTTGGACCTGCTTTAGACCTGCTTTAGACCTGTTTTAGACCTGCTTTAGACCAGCTTTTGGACCTGCTTTAGACCTGCTTTAGACCTGCTTTAGACCAGCTTTTAGACCTGCTTTGGACCTGCTTTAGACCTGTTTTAGACCTGCTTTAGACCAGCTTTTGGACCTGCTTTAGTCCTGCTTTAGACCTGCTTTAGACCTGCTTTAGCCCTGCTTTAGCCCTGCTTTAGCCCTGCTTTACTCCTGCTTTAGTCATGCTTTAGACCTATTCAAGACCTGCTTTAGTCCAGCCTTAGACCTGTTGTAGGCCTGCTTTAGACCTGTTTAAGACCTGCTTTAGTCCAGCCTTAAACCTGCTTTAGACCTGTTTAAGACATGCTTTAGTCCAGCCTTAGACCTGCTGTAGGCCTGCTTTAGACCTGTTTAAGACATGCTTTAGTCCAGCCTTAGACCTGCTGTAGGCCTGCTTTAGACCTGTTCAAGACCTGCTTTAGTCCAACCTTGGGCCTGCTGTAGGCCTGCTTTGGACCTGCTTTAGTCCTGCTTTAGACCTGCTTTAGTCCTGCATTAGACCTGCTTTAGTCCTGCATTAGACCTGCTTTAGTCCTGCTGTAGTCCATTTAGTCCTGCTTGTAGACTGGACGCCATACTGACCCGTGTGATGACCGGGTTGAAGCAGGCCGGACACTTGGCCTCTGAACACTTCTGACCCTCAAACCCGGGTCTGCATTCACACGTCCCAGAGGAGGAGCATTGTGTGGAGACTGCCCCCTGCTGGTCACACTCGCACGCTGCAGACAACATGCCAAAACTAGGTTAGTGTCAGTCGTTGTGTTGTTGTCATAGTCATAGTGGTTGTATTGTTGTCATAGCTGTTGTGTTGTTGTCATGGTCGCAGTGGTTGTGTTGTTGTCCCAGATGGTACTCACGCTGGCAGGGAGCAGGGAAGCCGTCTCCACGAACGTTCTCCCGATAAAAGCCCTCTGCACAGTCGGAACAGCCAGCTCCTGAGAGAGACAAGGGTTTCAGTCACAAACTCAGAAAATCAATCAGAGAGAGAGACCAGAGAGAGACAAGAAATAGAGACCAGAGAGAGGCCAGAGAGTGAGAACAGAGAGAGAGACCAGAGAGATAGATCAGATGAAGGACAGAGAGAGAGAGACCCTGAGAGAGAGACTAGAGAGAGACCAGAGAGAAAGAACAAAGAGAATAGAGAGAGAGAGAAGAGAGGGAGACCAGACAAAGACCAGATAGAGACCTGAGAAACAAGAGAGAGACCAAAGAAAATACCAGAGAGAGACCTGCAAGAGACAAGAGGGAGACCAAAGAAAAGACGATTGAGAGAACAGAAAGAGACCAGAAAAAGACCACAGAGAGAGAACAGAGAGAGAGACTAGAGAGAAAGAACAGAGAGTCCAGAGAGAGACCAGAGAGAGAGATCAGCTGAAGGCCAGAGAGAGAGAGAGACCAGGGAGAGATAAGGGAGAGACTAAAGAAAAGACCAGAAAGAGACCTGAGAGAGACAATAGGAAGACCAAATACATATCAGAGGGAGTAGAGAGAGACCAGAGCAAGGCCAGAGAGAGACTAAAGTTATTCAATAAATAGATTAGAAAAAATAGATTAGATAGAACCCTTTCTCCGTATAACATATCGTTACGGCTCCCGTTTGGGCCTGTACCTGTGTATCCGGTGGGACAGCCCTGGTTGTTGTCGTCAGAGGACAGACATTCTCCGGTCAGTGCGTCACAGCTGCCTTTGGGGCATTGGCAGGGCTGGCAGGCACTGAAGGACCCTCGGCTGGCCTGGGTGCGCATGTATCCGGGGGAACAGCGCTCACACTGATGGCCCTCCAGAGCAGGGGGGCACTGGCAGGTCTGCACCCACCTCGCTGGAGCTGTGCCTGGGCTGGGATGGGCAGAGACCAGGGAGACGTTATCCAGGTATCCCCGACCTAAGGAGAGATGGGGAGAGTTAGAGGTATGGACCAGAGAGAGACCAGAGAGAGACCGGAAAGTGACCAGAGAGAACAGAGAGCAAATAGAGAGGTCAGAGAATGAGGTCAGAAAGAGAGCAGAGAAAGACCGGAGAGAAGAGAAAGATCAAAGAGAGGCCAGAGACAGACCACAGACCAAAGACAGACCAATTACAGACCAGAGACTGCAGAGAACCCAGAGGGAAATCAGAGGAACGCCAGTGGGAGAGTTCAGAGAGACCAGAGAGAGAGAGACAGAGATGGTCAGTTTACAGCAAAAGTCTTGATGGTTTGTTGAGGTTACCTTCATTTCCGAAGGTGGCTCTGATCTTGATGGCTGTGAGGTTCTGTAGCAGCGTCTGGAACATGAAGGAGCTGAGCTGAGGACTCCAGAGCTTTTCATCCAACCTGGAAAACAACAAAAGATTACATATGTATGGAGGAGAGAGAGACCAGAGAGTGACCAGAGAATGACCAGAGAGAGCCCAGAGAGAGTCCAGAGATAGTCCAGAGAGAGTCCTGCGAGAGACCAGGGTGAGAGAGACAAAAGAGAGAGAGAGACTCTCTTGCCTTTCTATCGATCATACAATTCTATGAAATGCATCAGACACTTTCAACCTTAGCTGAGGTATCTGACCTCATCTATTTTTCATGATAAACTAATGTTATACTAACTAACAGAAAGAGAGGGTTAGTAACAACAACAAAAACATATCCTTTTATATTTACTAATCTATGACAGTGGCCAAAACCACATGGATATGAAAACTAGACCAAGACCAGGGCCACACCTAAAATTAAGATTCTCTTCGATAAAGTAACACTTTTAGGACCAGGAACCAGTGAAAAGGATTTTCCTACAGAGTTCAAAAGGTCAATATCCACAATAATAATAATAAAAAAAAAAACATATTGAAATACAAAAGTCAAGGGTTAGGGTTAACCAATCCAATAATGGCTATGTGACTGACCTGAAGGTGTAGTGCAGCTTCTGTCCACAGGGGACGCTGTGTCTCAGGTCTCCAAGTGAAGTGGACACGCTAAGGCCCGCCCCCTCCAGGATGACATCTGTGACTGACGGATGTCTCACTCCTCTGTCCAGACGCAGAGCGAAGGACAAGTTCTGACCATAACTGTGGAGCTTGTCCCCCAAGAAGCGTGCTGCAGGAGAGAGCAGAGGCCAGACATGAGGAACTAATCTCCTGTGTCAAATTGACACATTGACATTTACAACAGTGAGAAACAGAAGGTCACTGGAAAAACAAATGAGCTCCTTCTCAAACAGACTCCTGCAGCTCCGCTGCCACAGTGAGCGGTACAAGAGCACGTTCATGCCACACTCCATCCTGTTGTGCAACAAGCCACCGCTCTGTGACGGATAACACAATCATCTAAACACACTTCAACTTTATCTGCTTTGTCCTTGTATATATTGTATATTAACAGATGTGCAGTATCCTTTTATACTGTAAATGTGTACATATTCACAGATATCCATATTCCTGAGCACCTACATCCAGATTATTCTATTCTCATAAATATGATCTTTTATTCTTATTTTCAGATTTCTACTATAATGTTATTTTCATTGTGAAATACGATGCAAGCTACAACGCAATTTCCCTTGTGGATCAATAAAGTCTAAGTCAAAGAAACAATAGATCCACTGATTCAATCCTGCGTCCAACAACAGGACTCAGCAGTGCTTTATATTAGGAGGGGACTGACCGAGTGTGACATCACCCTCTCATGGTGAAGAGGCCAATTAGAGTGGACTCAAACGGGATCGTGGAGTCAGATGTATGCCCATGTTGCTGATAGCAACAACAGAGTTATCAAGAGCCAATCAGGATTGTTGCTGCTCTGTCTCCATTCACTCGCTGATAAAGCTAAATCCAGCCCATAGACTGTAAAAAATAATGGACGTATCACGCCTATCTCCGCCGTCCTAACCAATGGGCCAAAAATAATGCTCTATTGGAGCAATCCAAAATGGCCGCGAGTGGTCCCGCCCACAAGAAAATTGTGAAAAAACGCATCTGCGCATGCGTCAGCCGGCGTAAGCTTCATTCATTTGAACGAGTGCCTTCAAAAATTCACAGCAAGTAAACTAGAGTGGACCAAAAAAATTCACCCCCCTCAGCATTGACACACATGTGGAACGGAGCTTTGGGCCAAGAGCCAACTTTTGGACCGTCCTGTAAAGACGTTTTCGAGAGCTCTGCTAATTCTTATTCCGGGTCCACCCCCATCGGCCCGGGGTGGTATTGTAAGCATGTCAGCGCACGTCATTTTGGCCACTTTTGAGCCAGGACCCGCCCCCACTGATCCAGCCACAGAAGGGAAATGTAATTGTACAGAATAAAACTGGAGTGATGTAATACTGCATGAATGCGTTTTTAAGAACAAATATTCATATATTATTTAAATTATATTTTTTGTTTCCCCAACAGAAGGAGTCTTGCAACAGTAAAATGTTGTGAACCAATCAGATGACATTGTGGTCTCTTCATCAGAACAAATGTTACTCTTTTAGGAATGTCACATTTGACACTTTAGGTGAGAGTGAGGACAGTCTTCTCTGTGTCACTTCTGTCTGAAAATGTTTATCAGAGGTCTAAAGTAAATATGTAGTTGTCAAACTGTCCACTAGATGGCGGCCTTGTGTAACAGATAGCACCGATGGTTTATATGTGTTTGTAGAAATTGCAACATTTCCTTTTTTTTTTCTGTGAGTTGTTTGTATGATCATCATTGTTGCTGAATAAAAGCCCTTTGATTGCACTTTAGTTTCCATAGTGATGTTGGTGGTTATTATTATCGCTAAATGACAACGTAATTGCACCCATCAACACTCAGTTCTATTTTATTCCCTCAGGGCCAACAACAAAAGGCATTTGAAAATTAGTGATTAGAGAGTGCAGAACTTGAGACATGGATTTTATAAAATCAAAAAGTTAAAAAAAGAGAAAGTTAGGTACCTCAGCTTTAAGTATGTCAGACCTCTGTAGCTGTGCAGGGGATGCCTGGTTAATGCTGCGATGGGAGACCTCTGGGAACACCAAGTGCTGCAGTGGGGCAGCTACGGCTTTAAAGTTCTAAACTATCATTGTGTTCTTAGGGAAAACATTTGGCCCTTTTTTAGAATAATAATAATGCAGAAGTTTTATAAAGCGCTTTTCTGGACACTCAAAGACGCTTCACATGTCATTATTCTTTCACTCCAAACACGGTGGTGATAAACTACTACTGCAGCCACAGCTGCCCTGGGGCACACTGACAGAAGCGAGGCAACCAGTATGTGCCATCGGCCCCTCCGACCACCACCAACCATTCATACACACACCAGACTCATTCTAGGCAATGAGGGTAAAGTGTCTTGCCTAAGGACACAACAGCAGTTTGGCACTTTACAGCCGCAGCCGCCCCACTGTGGCAGGTGTTCCCAGAGGTTACTGTAAGTGTCTTTCCAAGGACACAACGACAGCAGACAGTGGGAGTCGATGGTGAAAGTCGGGCTCGTACCCACAACCCTCTGGCTCAAAGGCCAATGCTCTACCAACTGAGCTGCTGTCGTCCTGTAGAATGAGTATAGTGAATGGTTGGTGGCGGTCAGAGGGGCTGATGGCACAGATTGGTCGCTGCACTTCTGTCAATGTGCCCCAGGGCAGCTGTGGCTACAGTAGTAGTTTATCACATGGTTCATCTCACTGACCTGGAGCATACATGTACACCGGCAGGCTGCTGGAGGAGATGACCTCCACATCTTGATGTCGTGGCGACCAGCGGAAGTGCACGTTCCTGGGGGTGTTTCCGTCCGGAGTCGCAGCCCTCCAGCCGTCCAGACCTGCACAGAGGAGAGACTCAGACCAAGACAAAGACCCTGACCCAGGCTAGAACAGAGACTCAGGGCTGAACCAGACCAAGACCAGACAAGAAACTGAACTGCTTAAAAGTACACATAGTTTGTTATGTTATCAATTGGCAACAACAGATACAATAATAGTACAGCAAGAGTAAATACAGTTGTGGGACAGTGGCAGGGAGGTAGTTGTTTCGTACCTTCAGAAAAGCTGGAGCTAATGTTGTGGACATAGTATCCTGGCTGCACGGAGCACTCAGAGCTGTGACCGAAACAGAAGCAAGACGGACTCCAACTCCCAGAATCCTGTCTGTTCGAACGGCTGCAGGGACATGGAGAGCTCTTTTAAACACACAGCAAACAAGTATATCCTTACAACAATATTTACATCCTAAAGCCAGAGAGATAGAGAGAGAGATAGAGAGAGAGAGAGAGAGAGAGAGAGAGAGAGAGAGAGAGAGAGAGAGAGAGACCAGGGAGAGACCAGAAAGTGAGAACAGATAGAGACCAGAGAGAGACTAGAAACTGAGACCAGAAAGTGAGACCAAAGAGTGAGTCCAAAAAGAGAGAGAGGGACCAGAGAGAGACCAGAGAGAGCGAGAGAGATCAAAAAGTGAGACCAGAGAGAGACCAGAACAAGAGAGACCAGAAAGTGAGACATGAGAGTGAGACCAGAGAGAGTGAGACCAGAGAGAGTGAGACCAGAGAGAGACCAGATAGTCCACAGAGACGTTAAAATTCTGAAAACGTTAAAGGGTGAACTGCCTTTAGCGAGGGACCACTGTATACGCACATTTAACTCTCTTTCTTTAAATATTCAATATAAAATTTCTAACCTAAGTTTAAGTGTATAGTAACCATGTGAGGTCAATAGGGTTATATCCCAATGTGGCCCCACCCCTGTTCTAGAACCTGGACTCAGGAGAACTTTGGAGATGGTTCAGACCTGCGTTTGCACCCGTCTGCTCCGATCGTCTGTCCGTCTGCGCACAGATCACACTTGTGTCCAGTGAAGCCAGATGCACAGCTACAGCGCCCCCTGCTGTCACACTGAGAACTCACTGAACCTGAGGAGTGAAATCACTTTAAGTTATTTGTGTGGATTATTTATGAGAGAGCAGAGAGAGACAAAAGATGGACCTGAGAAGGACCAGATTGAGATCAAAGAGAGAGACGAGTGAGAGGCAAGAGAGAGAAAAGAGAGGGACGAGAGTGAGACCAGAGAGAGATCAGAGAGAGACAAGAGAGAGACCTGAGAATGAACAAAGACAAATCAAACAGTGAAACCAGAGAGAGACCAGAGATAGAGACGAGAGGGAGACCAGAGAGACAAGAGAGAGACCAGAGAGAGACCAGAGAGGGACCAGAGAGGGACCAGAGAGGGACCAGAGAGAAACCAGAGAGAAACCAGAGAGAGACCAGAGAGAGAGAGACAAGAGAGAGACCAGAGGAGTCCAGAGAGAGACCAGAGAGAGACAAGAGAGAGACCAGAGAGAGACAAGAGAGTGACGATAGAGAGCGATCAGAGAGGGTTCTTACCTGCGGCATGGCACTGGCAGGCCGTGCAGCTCCTCTGCGCCCCCTGGTGGTAGAAGCCAGCTCTGCAGCGCTCACAGTGGCGGCCCTCTGTATTACCCTGACAGTCCACACAGCGCAGGCCCAAAGCATCTCGCAGACAGTACCGAGACAGACCGCCGCACTCACACCGCGACGCTGCAACACACCAGCCACGAGTCAGTTCACAAAGTACCAGTGAGACCCGATCTCTCCTTTAGTCACATTTAAATATATTGAACTCAAAGCTTTGAAACTTTTGGTAGTGAAAAACCAGTCTGTTTGGCGTGACTGGATTAGACCATTTCTAACCACAGTAAAAGAGACTAGGCCTGCAGATGCATTTAAGAGCACAGGGAAACGCCATGCCGATATTAGAAATGTGTGTCATTGGATCAAGTCCCTCAGTCCCTCTGCATGTGTTTCACTGTTATGTTTTGGGTTCTGATCCCTGGTTTCTCTCTGGTCTCTCTCTGGTCTCTCTCTGGTCTCTCTCGAGTCTCTCCGGCCCCTCTCCCCAAGAGAGTCAGACTTTGTCACAATTTGTGGAACAAACGTCACTATTTTTGTTTGTTACAAAATATATACGATATGTTAAATATAAGCGTTATAACTTTATGAAGAAAAACGTTTTCAGTTCCCGGGTAAGTAACATAACAGGAGCTCATGGCGAGGGTCATGTGACAGGGGCTCCTGAAGGAGTGCACGTAACAGGGGCTGAACAGGGAGGTCTGCCGCCAGATGCCTCTCCCTCTCCCTGGTCCAACTCTTACCTCTCTGTCTAGTCTCTCTCTCTCTTTTTCTGATCTTTCTCTCTAGCTTTTCTCTCTGGCTTCTCTTTGGCATCTGTCAAGACTAGTAATCAAGGGCAAACATGTCCTCCTGAGGGCCACACCGAAATATCAGCCCGAGGGCCGGACCAAATTTGCAGTTTTTATTCCTTAGGCCTACTTTTTTTTTCTTTTTACACATAAATACATTATTATATACATGACTATATATTAAATATGTTATTGCGGCAGAATGAAGCGAGCGACTACGGCACCAGAGCTCTGCACGCAGCACAGGATTTTATTTTTGTACAAACTGAGGAGTGCTCAAGGGCCTTATAGAAACGTCCAAAGGGCCATGCTCTCTCTCTCTCTCTAGTCTCTATCTCTGGTCTCTCTCTCTGGTCTATTTCTCACCATAGAAAAAGTGTTTTGGAAAAGCATTCATAGTTTCTAGGCATTGATCGCTGCTGTTGACAGTTGTGGGTGCTTGTGGGTGCTGGGGCTCTCCCTGGGTGTGTCTGAGGAATGTGTGTGACATAATGAGGAGGGCAAGTAAACCTGTGTTGTGATTGAGGTGTAAATAAAAGAGAGAGAAAAGAGAGGGAGACGAGAGAGAGATATGTATTTGTTTGTGCACACTGGTGACTTTTGCTAATGTATTCCTATGTGGTGTTTTTACTGCAAATGGCAAATAAACTGAATCTGAATCTGAATCTGAAAGAGAACAGAGAGAGAGACCAAAGAGAGACCAGAAAGGGACCAGATAGAGAGATCAGAGAGAAAGACCAAAGAGAGAGAGACGAGAAAAGCCAGTGAGAGAGACCAGGGAGAGATCAGAGAGAGACCAGAGGGAGAGACTAAATAGAGAAAGACTAGAGAGAGATACCAGGAGAGAAAGCGAGAGAAACCAGCAAAATTACATTTTCGTGCCAGAAGTTCCTGATAGTAGCATGGATAGATCTAAAAACAACCCCAGGTCTGTTACAGTAGAGAAAACCTCATAAGAGAAAAGTCTCCAGTCAAATTAGATTTAGACCTACATTGAAAAGGTCGTAATATGCTTCCACTCGATCTGGTGGTGTTTTTCTTTTCTGAAATCTCTTATTGTTCCCCTAAAGGCAGTTTTATCAGGAGGAAAGAAGAGAGTGAGACTAAATGAACAATAATAATGTTTCCTTGAATATGTGAGCGTGTTATGCCAATGTCTCAGCTATGACCGTAAAATCTGAGAGGCACTGGTTCTTCTCTTTACAGAAGGACTGTTCTAAGTAACACACTGTGAACAGCTAAGACCACAACATGCTGTCTCTCATCTTATTAGAAAACAGGTAATCCTTTAAATGCTGAGAGCTGATTGGCTGATTGGTGGTCCTATCGTTTTCACTTTTCTGTCTGAAAAAGCGAATCTAAAGATGTGACAGAGGCCAAGCATACACAACAGTGATAGAACCAAACTGTTTTAGAGCCAGGAACTAGAGGTATAGGTTCATGTATTTATCTATTGACAGAGTTTTATGTCTATCTTATCTTATCTTATCTTGTCTCTCTCATGTCTCTCTAATGTCTATGTCTGGTCGCTCTGTATGGTCTCTGTCTGGTCTCTGTCTGGTCTCTCTAATGTCCATTCAGTGTAGAGTGTCCTGGATCATAACCAGTCTTTTTTTAGACCCACTTAAGAGCAGACTCTCCTGCAAACCTGACTTTTTTTCCTAACAGGCTATAGATCTAGGACTCAAGCTACTATGGTCTCTATCTGGTCCCTCTCTGGTCTCTGTCATGTCTCACTGGTCTCTCCTAAGTCTTTCTCTGGTCTCTCTCTTTTGAACTTCTCTGTGAAAAGAGAAGCAAACAGTTTAAGAGCCATGACTTAGAGACATAGATTGACAGTTATTCTGAAAGTAAAATACCCCTGCTCTAAAATCTACCTGATCTAATCTCTGTCTTCCCTCATCTTACATTACAAAACCAGGACACAGACACAAGAGAAAGCATGGCAAGCACTTTCACTCACCGTGGTAGGAGTATGTGGCCTGAGCGCCGCAAATAAGAGCAATCACAACACAAACTCGCAGAAAACAGTCGTCCATGTTGTGGGTTTGGGAAGCGTCCCGTGAATGAGCGGGTGTGGGGGGCCAGGGCTTTAGTACGGGCCCCTCTGCACTGGCAGGTCTCGACAGGAGAGCAGGAGACGCCCTGTGTGTGGACGCTGAGTCACGCCCTCAGGTTAATGATTACACACAAGCTCTGAAGCAGTGTTATTCAGTGCCTTGAGGTGTTGTTTGGTGTGCCATAGCAAATTATGCAATATCAACTGGTTGGTCAAAATAATGTGAGAAGAAAAGTATGTGGGAAAGTGAGAGAGACCTGTTTGCTTTACTATAACAAACACTTTGAGTGACTTTGTTAATAAAGGCTCAGCTGGTGGTTTGTCACGGCTCCAAAAGGATAAGGAACATTGCACTGGTCTAAATGAGGACAAAAGCAGGTCTACAACAGGACTAAAGCAGGTCTAAAGCAGGTCTAAAGCAGGTCTAAAGCTGGTCTAAAGCTGGTCTAAAGCAGGACTAAAGCAGGCCTGAAGCCGGCTGGAGTATAGGTGTGTGGCTCACAGACAGCAGACTTCGTGACACAGAATGAAATCAGGCCCCTGAGGCGGCTGCGGCCGCACCTCGCTCACTCAGAAGATTGCGTCTCTGGGCTGAGGATATGACACACCTGCCACTCCCTGAACCTCTGTTCCTCTGGCCCACAACAATAATACTTTAGAAAAATGTAGGTTTAAAGCAGGTCTAAAGTAGGTCTAATGTAGTAGTTCTAAAGTAGGTCTAATGTAGGTCTAAAGTAGGTCTAAAGTAGGCAGAGGCATCATTTCTCTCGTCCATGTGGTGTCCTGGTTCTACAGCCTCAGTCCTGGTTCTACAGCCTCTCCATCCGTGGGAGCAGAACCTTCGATATGGGCCTCCCAGATCTTTCTCATATTGATTCCACCTCCAGACACACCAATCCTTGTGGAGTTTGCATGTTCTCCGCGTGTCTGCGTAGGTTTTCTCCAGGTGCTCCGGTTTCCCCATCACTGAAATATGTGCGCCAGGTTCAATTGAAATGAGTGAAGGATGGTGATTGTTGAAGGCTTCGGTGATGAGTGGAGAGAACAGGACTTATGGTACACCAGAAATCATTGTGATGTTGGTCTGTGACATGCGCAATATAAAAACATGACATACTTTTGCGTCAAACAGACACCAAACAGCAGCAGTCAAATGTAAATTCAAGTTTTATTTTACAAACAAACGGCTTATAAAAAACACCACAGTCCATGACGGGTCTCTGTGCGCAGCCACAGACAGAAGATTTGATTGGCTCTGTCCGAATCCCAACGCTCCAACAGAACGAGAAGCCACCAGGCAAAAAATAACAGAAGAAGAAGCAGAAAGAGCAAGGACACTTCGCTTGGAATCATTGTGGTCCACTTCAAAGTCTCAAATGTCCAAAGATGTAAGTAAAGATCCATGCACCGGTCGGCAGGAGTGAGGAACATCCAAAATAACCCGTTTTCTGATGGTGGGACCTTGAGCCGCGGCCAGAGCTCAGTCGAATCCGTGAGTTTGAGTTTCATGAGAAAAAGCACAGGTTTGTGAGTGTCTCGCGGAAACATCACATTAAAAAAACGTCTCTGAACGTTGAGGATCCATGGGATGTGGGCGGGGCCAGTCCCGGTTTGAGGACGCAGACTGGAGCCAAAATGCAGAGCTTGTTTAAGATTTCAGAAGGAAGTACAAAAATATAAACACAGGAAATAATGAGTAGATTGTTTTAGTATCTTCAGGCCTGGAACAAATGCTTTCTTCAACTGTTTGGATGTCTCTCAGTGGAGATTAGAGAGAGAGAAACCAGAGGGACCAGAGAGAGCGACTCAAGGGACCAGGTAGAAAAACCAGAGAGAGGGACCAGAGCGAGACCAGGAAGAGAGAGAGGAGGGAGAGCGTGAGAGACATGGGTCAGAAACCAGAGAGAGACACAAGAGAGACCATAGAGATACCCAGGTCTCTATGATCTCTATGATCCTGCTGTATATATTGTGATATTGTCTTTGTATTTCCAGATTTGATAAGGCTAACACTATTGTGATGTCACTCCTAACATACACTCTGAAGCACATGGCTTTAAGCACGAAGACGAAACGCTACAGATCTGACGCTCCTTCTCCTTGCGCACCACTCCAGAGTGCGTCCCCAAAAGCCTGTGTCCCTGAGGTCCCTGCGCCCGCCTGGAGCTCCTCTATTAGCACACGTCGTCCTCCGCGCCGTACAGGTCGGCCAGCTTGCTGAAGCGCGGGCCCCACTCGCTCAGGTAGCGGTAGTCCTGGTCTGCTTCAGAGGAGGCGGAGCCGAGCGAGCTGAGCGACTCGGCCACCGACCCCGCGCCCTCGTAGGCGTATGTGGCCAGGGAGTCGTATGGCGGTGCCGTAGGGTTGCAGTCATGCTCAAGGACGCGGCGCGTGATGAAGTCGCGCACGTCACCGGTGTCGTCGTGGCGATGCTGTAAGAGCGCGGGGGGCGGGGCATGTCTGCGGAGCGGCGGGTACAGCAGGGCGTCGCTGTTGGGCATGATGTCACGCCGCTGCCCCGTCGGGTCCTCCAGCACTGAGGCCGAGTCCGGGTGCCGCAGCGCGCCCATGTCAAAGGCCTGCGTGTCCTCCTCGCCGCCGCCCTCGTCGTTGTAGCTCACCACGTTGTCACGAACGTCTTCTTTGGAGATGATCAAAGGCTCCTGCTTTCGGCTCCGCTTCAGCGCCGCAAAAAGGAACACGATCACTGAGGAAGGAGAGAGGGAGGGTTAGAGACAAACACTATCACTGAGGGGAGAGGGGGGGAGGGTTAGAGACAAACACCATCACTGAGAGGGGAGAGGGGGGGAGGGTTAGAGACAAACAAGACTGGGTCTACGTCTGGCTCTGGTTCTAGGTCCAGGTTTGGTTCTGAGTCTAGGTCAGGGTCTGGGTCTAGGCCTGGGTCTGGGTAGTAACAAAGTAGTAGCAGTAGCAGCCGTTGTTGTGTAATAGTAGCATTAGTAGTAGTAGCAGTAGTCGCATCAGTAGCAGTAGTAGTAGCATCAACAGTAGCATCAGAACTCACTCAGCAGTATCACCGCACACAGCAGGATGGCGATCAAGGCCCCGGTGCTCAGTCCTGGGCTGCTGCTGAGAGCCTCGGCGTTGCACAGCTCCATGTTTCCGTGACGATCGCAGGAGCACACTCGTACCGTGAGCGTGCCCGTGCTGCTCTGCATGGGGTAGTCAGCGTCGGTGATCACCACGACGACCGTGTACACGCTCTGCTGAAGCCGACTGTAGCTGTTCCTGCGCGTCAAGATGGCCGCAGTGTTGTCTGCACAGAGACACAAGCAACTTTTTATTTCACGTTGACTTTAGGCCAAGAGACAGATGCTAAATCAGACGGACTGTATACAGATAAATTATGCTAACACAGACCGTATAAAGATAAACAATGCTAACACAGATTGTATACAGATGGAAAATGCTAACGCAGACTGTACACAGATGGACATATCCAGGTGTGAGTGTAGATCTGTCTCTGAGTCTAGATCTCAGTCTGGGTCTGGCTCCAGGTCTAGGTCCGGGTCTTGTCCCTGGCCTCACCTCCGTTGTCTCTGACGGTAAAGTTGCTGCGGTGAGCGCCCTCTGGTGCCAGGCTGAAGAAGAAGCGGTGCCCACTGGAGGGTTCGTCTGGGTCCACGGCGCTGATGGTCTGAATCCGCTGTGACACAACACAAACACAGGACGCTCACAAACCACTTCAAGCTCAATTTTATAGTCCCTTATGCCCTGGTTCTTTCCAGGCCGAGCAGGTACTAAAGTGTTCTCTCTGACAGTGTGCTGCTGGAAGCCATGGTTACCAAGCTATTTGCCTGTATATTGTGGGGAGGTTGTTGGGATACTGTAAAAGAGACTTAAGGGTAATGGAAAAGAAACCAGGTAGAGAAGAGAAGAGTCAAGGCAAAGTGGTGGAAACACTGGCAGTAGTAGCAGCAGCAGCAGCAGCAGTAGCAATCGTAGCAGGAGCAATAGCAGCAGAGGTAGTAGTCACAGAATCAGTAGTTGTACCAGTACCTGTGCGGCCTTGCTCCTCTCACACACGTAGGTCTCGTAGGTGGTTGCCAGAACAGGGGGATTGTCGTTGATATCCAGGACTTTGATGAACACGTTGACACTGCTGCTCTGTCGCGGGTTATCTGGCAACACAAAGCATTATCTGTCACCACAAAGTATTATCTAGCAAACACAGTATTATCTAAAACACAGAGTTTTATCTAGCAGCACATAATACATCCCCAGACCCTCGGCAACGCGGTGGCACAGTGGTTAGCGCTTTATGACTCTGGTCTGTGAAACTCGCTACAGTATATCAACAAAGATTACTTGCTACTTACTTACTCATGCCTGGTCTCACATCTAAACTGTAAAGCAGGGTCTGTCAAACTTATTTTGGTTGAGGGCCGGATTAAAAAATGAAAGGGCTGCTCAGGGGCCGATAGAATACAGTAGGTCCCATTTCGTTTTGTCGCCTTTCAATCGTGAATAGCACGAGACTCACGTGTGAAACACGCGTCTTTTATTTTTTTTTCCCCAGTGATGCTGCAATGACCCAAACAACCACCAGGTGACACTTGTGAGCAGGGTTAGGAACATTGGCTTCTCACCGCTCATTCTTCTCTCTTCACTGGACAACTTTCTGTGGCTTTATAGCTCAATGATAAGGAGCTAGACTCTGGTGCGAGAGGACCCGGGTTGAAGTACAGGGTAAGACACTTTTGATTTTGTTGACGTTTACATTTTTTCTAAAACATACTTAGTAATTAGGCCAACACATTTAAAATAGTTGCTAGACTGTAGTAAACTTGTAAAACGCGCTGAGTGTCACACATGGCTGGGGGCATTAATGCACGGGTTGCCACTATTCATTCTATAAAAAGTCCACTTAAATTTTGAATGTAGTCCATTTAAACTTAAATGTGTTTGTCAGACATATATCCACGCGTTTAGCGGCAGAGGAGGGGGCAGCCACAGACGCTTCTCCCCTCGCTCCTCTGATCAGAATGAGAGGAAAACTCCTGTTGAAAATCAAAGTCACAGGCTCTTCTGTCTTTAGGACAGATAGATTTCAGATAGAAATTGCTACTCAAAAGGCGCTCTTAGACGCTGCTGTTGTAGCGAGGGCTGACGCAGCCTCATGCCGCTCCCGATCTCGGCGGAGTTTTTGAAGTGTACAGTAACTCTACCGAATACAATTACTCAAAATGAGTATTCTAACAATTTGAAAGTTATACCAGTTATACCACTTACTTTGAAATAGCATTCAGTAGCAACACTTTTAAACATAAAACACATTCTCACGATATTGCTAATACAAATTTATGATGGGGGGAAAACTTTCTTTCTCAAAAAGGTTATGTAAGTATTGTTAATGTATCCATGGAAATTGAATTTGGTATATCTACACATGTTTTGTGTAGGTAATGGATATGTATCGATACCAATCATAACTGTACGTACAGAGCCACGCACATTAAGCGTCTCTCTAGAACGCTGCCAAATTACAACCCCGAGGAGGCGATTGGACAGTTCAGAGTTGTAATTTTTTAATTTCCTAAGTGTGGGCATAAAGCTGTGTGTGTGTGTGTGTTTTAATAAAGCTTTCTTTACATACATATTCCTGGAAAATTTTCATTTCCTCTATAAATTCATTCATGTCATTGATGGCCTAATAATAGTGTAGTAGCCTACATAGGATAAAATATATGCAGCATAATATGAATTAATACATATTTATATAAATATTGCATTAATTATGAGGCATGGTGACCAATAGTGACAGATCTGCCAGCCAATCACGAGAGATTATACTTATTTGACAGTAGTGATTTCATCCAATGGGGAGTAAGCTTCATCCAATGGGGAGTAAGCTACTAATGGGGAGTAATCCCACGTGGGCTGGCCACGTGTGATTTTTCAGCCAATCACGAGTTTGAAAGTAGTGGTATCCGCCAATGCTGAATAGTGTTCTGAAGCAGCCTGGCCAGCCGCTGCATTCATATGTTAATTAGGGCCATTAGCGCTCGGCCGGCCGCAGTGTTTCGCTGCATTCATATGCAAAGTAGGGACATTAGCATGGTACGGATGCGGCAGTTTGGAGGACAGGGCACCCTAACTGCGCGTTTTGAAAACTGCCTGAGATACCCGAAAAAGAGCGTGATTTCCTGCCGTTTAGGGTGACGAAAATCTAACTTTTCATGCAGTGCCTTATACTGTAGCCGCTCATACAGACTCCAAACTTTCCAGTCTTGGACGTAACAATATTTAGAAGATTTTTTCAGAGGGATTTTTTAATAGCCTAGCCTGATTTATTCAGCTTTGAACCCAAAAAAACAGGCGGAATTGGAGTTTTTACAGATTTGTTCATTATGATTAGACAATTGAAAAACTAAATAATATATCCAAAATCCCATCTGCTAAAATCTTAGTTACTAATATGTCAATAAAATGAAACCATACATTTTAATCTGGCACAATCCATTATTTTTATTCCGTTGCCCAAAATATAGGCAATTTTGGCCATTTTTATGAACAACATGTCTTACTTTTTATACTGTATGGAAACATAAAATGACAGAACATTTTCTGTTCACCTGCCTTAAGCTTTTGATGTTCGTATGATTGAGGCTGGTTCGATCTACTGGACGTTTGGGTAAGGCAAGCGCACAAGTTAAAGCTGCGTAGGAACTGAACTGTATTGAACTAGATTGACCAGGGCTTGAGTCCACAGGAATGTCGAAAATCCAGTTTAAGCAATAAACAATAGATATATAGACCACCTGATATCCCCACGGGCCAAGGGATGTCCACGTTAGCCTACTATTGTTAGGATTTCTATATCCAGTGTTTTGTCAAGGTGCCAATTGCTAATTTAATAAACATTTCCTCCAATGATAAAACTGAATGGATCTTGTTTGATGAGTATTGTGATGTATTCCATTGATTGCACACCAGCGCACTGAGCCAAAATGCGTCAGCGTCTCTCTCTCTCTCTCTTATTTACATCACGCCGTCCAGAGTGTTTGATAATGGGATTTATTTTAACCAATACTATTAAAACTTTGCTCAGCCAAACAGTAAATACCAGAAGAAGACCTCACTAAAAGATCACGAGAGGCAGATCGCTTTCAGGATGTCTTTATTTTCGAATTGGCATAGAATTCTAATATAGACAATACATAATTATTTTAAATATATACGTTAATGCAATTTAATTAACATTAGTACAAAATATGTATATGTTGTCTCTGCAACATAGAGGCTATCTACTGTATCTATCTCGAACACAGTTAAAGAGCGACTAAACACCAAATCAACTTTTTCAAACTCATAAACTGCATAAGTATGTTTATTGTAGTGCTGTCTACATATCCTGGTCATTCTTTTGACATTTTAGTTCAAATTAGATAAAATATCACTTTTGAGCCAAAAAACGCTGTGTGGCGCCCTCTCCACCTTTTTGGTGGTACTACATTTGAATTTGGTTCTGGCCTCTCCATTGACTCTGAAGTTCTCTATGACATCAGTTGTTTTGTGTGACGTCAGTCTGTCAGAGCCAGTGATGTGAACCCATCCAACTCTCACACACGCCCCAGCTGCAGTTTGGAGTATTCTGGCGCCATCTAGTGGATTCAAATTAAATTACATGAGTCATTCTGAGATTATTGAGTGTGATTAGGTTCAGGTGTGTAGCTTTACAATTATCTTAGTGTGTAAACAAGGGTGGAATGAGACTTTCTGGTCTGTAAACTATTGCTTTAAGCGGCAATGACAACTGTCTGTTTTTGTGTGTGTGTGACAAGTGAGCTGTCAATCACAGCCCAGACCACGCCCAACTCTAAGCCCCCCTTCTTGTCCCTTAGTCCTCCAGGCAACGCCCTTTTTAGAGAACATTTTCAAATCTTCATGTGGGCGGAGTCAGGCTGGGCACAGGTGTTTAGTCGCTCTTTAATTATATAGTTGAGCTGTCTGATGATCTGAATGACTGACAAAAGCAGTGAAAATAATGGGGGTTGTGGCACAGTCTTGTTTGTCAAACGGTCGCTATTTTAAAACACACAACTCACACTGAGAGAGGGATTCAGACTGCAGACATCACTTAAGTCCAAACTTTAGCAGGACTTTTCTTGTACTGCTGTTGTAATGAGCTCATGAGGAAAAGACCAACAAAAGGCGATGTAACGCCGCCCCGCGCGTGTGATGCATTGTTTACTTTTCACTCCACAAACCCAGCGTCACTCTATCTAACCATAAAACCGTTTTACAACACATCTCTCTCTCTCTCTGTCTCTCTGTGTCTCTCTTCTCTCTCTCTCTCTCTCTCTCTCTCTCTCAGGTGAGTGAAGCGCAGACCGGTGCACGTGGAGCTTGATAAACATGTAAACTTTAAATACAATTGGAATTCAACTCCACAATCAGCACCAACCAAACTGCAGGAATAAAAATGCCAATTTTACAACATGACATTTCCTTTTGACAAGGAAAGAAGATGACAAGCTGATAACGTTAGACCTCGGCGACCCAGTCCGCACACACAACATCTGGCTCTTGGGACGTGGAACGTCACCTCACTGGGGGGGAAGGAGCCCGAGCTCTTGGGGGAGGTTGAGCGATACCGACGAGAGATAGTCGGCCTCACCTCCACACACAGCTTAGGCTCTGGAACCCAACTCAAGAGGGGTTGGACGCTCCACTTTTCTGGTGTTTCCCGCGGGGAGAGGCGGCGAGCTGGGGTGGCCATTCTCATTGCACCCCATCTCAGCCGCCACGTGTTGGAGTTCTTCCCGGTGAATGAGAGGGCACATTCCTCCGCCTCCGGGTGGGGGACAAGTCTCTCATTGTTGTTACGGCCTACGGGCCTAACAGCAGTGCAGAGTACCCGGCCTTCTTGGAGTCCTTGGGAGAGACTAGACTGTGCACCGCCCGGGGACTCCGTTATTCTCCTGGGGGACTTCAACGCCCATGTGGGAAATGCCAGTGACTTTGAGGAGAGGGACATCGAGTCCAAGTGGACCATGTTCTCTGCCTCAACCGCCGATGCCGAGGCTCGTAGCTGTGGTCGTAAGGTCTCCGGTGCGGGTCCCGGCGGCAACCCCCGAACCCGGTGGTGGACACCGGCAGTAAGGGATGCCGTCAGGCTGAAGAAGGAGTCCTATCGAGCCATGATGGTTCGGGGGACTCCTGAGGCAGCTGTCCAGTACCGGCTGGCCAAGCGTGTTGCGGCCCGGGCTGTCGCAGAGGCAAAAACCCGGGACTGGGAGGAGTTCGGAGAGTCCATGGAGCACGACTATCGGTCGGCCTCAAAGAGGTTCTGGCAAACCATCCGGCGCCTCAGGAGGGGGAAGCAGTTCTTTGCCAACACCGTGTACGGTGCGGGTGGAGAGCTGCTGACCTCGACTGGGGATATTGTCGGGCGGTGGAAGGAATACTTTGAGGTTCTCCTCAATACCCCCGTCACGTCCTCCGTTACAGAGGCAGAGGCTGAGGATGTTGGGGCGGATACATCCATCTCCCTGGCTGAGGTCACCAAGGTGGTTAGCTGCCTCCATGGTGGCAAGGCTAAGGGTGTGGATGAGATCCGTCCCGATTATCGAAAGTCTCTGGATGTTGTAGGACTGTCTTGTCTCTGCAACATCGCGTGGCGATCGGGAGCGGTGCCAATGGAGTGGCAGACCGGGGTGGTGATCCCTCTCTACAAGAAGGGGGACCGGAGGGTGTGTTCCAATTATCGTGGGATCACACTCCTCAGCCTCCCCAGTAAGGTCTACTCCAAGGTACTGGAGAGGCGGCTACGGCCGATGGTCGAATCTCGGATTCAGGAGGAGCAGTAAGTAAGTAAGTAAGTAAGTTTTTTTAGTAAGTTTTTATTTATATACTGCCTTTTCACTGCAGATCTGAGTCTCAAAGCGGTTTACAATTGTTAATGTGTGGTTTTCGTCCCGGTCGTGGAACACTGGACCAGCTCTATACTCTCCATCGGATACTCGAGGGTTCATGGGAGTTTGCCCAACCAGTCCACATGTGCTTTGTGGATTTGGAGAAGGCGTTCGACTGTGTTCCCCGGGGTGTCCTTTGGGGGGGTTCTTCAGGAGTACGGGGTTCGGGGTCCTCTGCTGAGGGCCATCCGGTCCCTGTATGAC